TATATGCTGCTGTAGTATAGACTGTATAGTACCGGTACGATTTACGAATACTGTCGGCCATGCATACGCAATTTGAAGAAAGCGGAAAACAACATAAAAAGTCGGCAGATTGTAGATTGTTAGCTACTGAGCGCTGTCGTTAGTAACTCCGTATCATCCTTTCCAAGAAGATGACTTTGATTTTTCTCTTGTTTTGGTCAATTTAAGTATACGGTTTCATATTTTGACTTCATATTTTGACTTCTTGATTTATTGACAATACAAAAGAAATAAAATAGAAACAGTAACGTTGGCGGCTACTATACTGGCGACTACGCTATTTCCAAAATAAATCGTATGAGACCGGAAGACGAGATAATGTAAAAATTTGCAGCCACCTGTCGAAAAACAACACGAAAAATGTTTTGTTTCATTGTTTTTCCCTGACATTTCTATGCGCTTGGAATTCCAAATACAGAGAATCTGGAATTCCAAGCAAAAATTGGAATTCCACGGATTTCCTAAATTCCAATTTCCAAATCCGAGCCGCCCGCGAGGAGCGCGGATTTGGAAATTGGATTCCATCCGTGGAATTCCATTTTCCTTGGACGGTCGTTCCTTAGTCTACAGCTAAAGCCGCAAAACCGGTTCCGAGGCAAAGTAAATTTTGTCGCCCATTGTACGTGTATATACCATACAGCCGGTATAGTATATACACGTAAAGTACAGTATATATATACACGTAAAGTGCAATACTTAGTGGATATAAGAATATACATGTATCTATATTGCAGCGTACACGTATTTAGGTTATGGTGACCACTCCGTATAATTATGCCACCTTTACCAACATCTTACCTCTTCGTACATTACCGTTCGGCTTTACTTTTTCTGCGCACACGAGCGTTTATTCTTTAAATTTCTTCACGTCAACGCTATTTCCGAAACTGCCGTTTTTTCGTTGACAGCTGTCATTGCTGCGTAATTTGAAAGCGTCGTTAGCAATCATACATAAGTGAATCTCCGCGCACCTGTGCCGGTTTTTCTTCGCAGGGTTTCATTTTTAAACGAATTCGCATTTTGAACATTTCGCAGGTCTTTCTGTACTTAATAGAAGTCGCCGCTGGGTGTTTCATATAAAGGTATCTCAACGCCAAAGGTGGCATCGATTGATAGAACACCGAATGAATGGTAGTGTTCAGGTAGTTTACCGAATAAAGAGTAGTGCCCGAAAAGGTAGTGCTCGAAATAAAAGGAAATAATGCATAAGGCAGTGTACGGAGAAAAAGATAGTTTATAGTTTACGGAGTGGTTACCTTGAGGGAAGTGGTGTCACCGGTACATGGTGTCAAATTCGGTACATGGTGACACCCCGTACATGGTGTCAAATTCGTTTACACGCGCGAAAGCTTTCACTTCCGCCCACTCCCAAACACTTTTTTCTTTGTTATAATATTCTTTAGCTAGATAATTTGTTTGCATAAGCGTCAAAACCACTTTTCACGGTAATAACTTGCATTAATTTGAAGATGTACCGATTGCATTAAAAGTTTAACGATTAAACGGTAAAGAGCAGTGATCTTTCATTTTTTTGTCGCTTTCCGAATAGCCCACTAGATGGAAATATGTGATGCATCAATGGCGTGCAACATCTGGTCTTTCACGACGTTCAAACTTCAGTTTGCTCTGCAAACTTCGTTCAAACGTCAGTTTGCTCTGCAAACTTCGTTCAAACGTCAGTTTGCTCTGCAAACTTCGTTCAAACGTCAGTTTGCTCTGCAAACTTCGTTCAAACTTCAGTTCTGCTCTGCATGATTCAGCACATCAAAGCGCATTTCTTTAATACCCAATGTCATGTATTGAACGAACGGCATAATCTTTTATTATGTCCGCTCGGGACAGCAGCAAACAACCAACTAAACACCAGACATGGCAACAATAACGGACAACAACAATACCGTTGCTACGGCGCATTAGCCATAGGCCATTATCCATTTCACGAGATACTCGTACAACGTTTGTACGAGTACTTACATACACCTACTCTATGTTATTTTTTCTCACGATTCATAGCACACTAAGTGTACGGGTAATTACTTTTTCTCGACAAATATGTTTAGTTGTAACGCTTATTGCAATTGCATTAAGTACTTCATTTACTTTGTTTTAAAACGTACAGTCCATCAAGTGCAACTACACAGCTTTAAAATTTTTTAGCGCAGTTTCCACTTGTTTTGGACCATCAGAAATCTAATGCTTTTTTGGCCGCAAAAATTCTCTTCCTTTTTTTACCATCGAAATTGCTTTCCTCTTTTTGACCAAAAAACATTCCTTCCTTTATTTATTCCTTCCTCTTTTTGACCTTGGTCAATGGTTCCAGACTCAGACGTGAAGTTCTCAGCAGTTCAATAGTTATACATGGTATTTACAGTCTTATTTAAAATAGATTTAGTTTTATTTTGGCCGGAAATGTTGAATAGCGGCTATAATTATGGTTAATTCTTTCTTTTCAACATTCGTGTTGCTGCAGTTACACTAGTACAAATTTCCCGTATTCGATTACCGCATGGGTTGTTGTCAAATAAAATCTTGCAGTTTTACACTACTGTACGTTGTTTTAGCGTTGCTTGTGATATGGGGATTCGCTGGACCATATGGCGCATATTTCCGGTCAAGAGTTAAAAGTTATCGAGATATTACTTTAGCAGTCTCAGGAACACTCAGCACTTTAATAGTCAGACTCAGCTTTTTAGTACTCAGACTCAGCCTTTCAGTAGTCAGACTCAGCCTTTTAGGGTTCAGACTCAGACTCAGCGCTTCAGCGCGGGCCTTTACAAATACCCGCGTGAACAGCTCCGTTTTGCAAATACTCGTCACGGCATCAGGCATGCAAGTCATGAAAATAACAGTCTACTATGCACATACACTTTAATACATATATATATATATATGTGTCTAAATGAGCAGTTAATAAGTAATCTGTTATCGGACTATTAGGTAATTTATCTACTTACGTTAATTACAATTACAGTTTACACTGCTTTAATTAATTCATTAATGTACTGTACCATGTAGGCTAACAACGGTAAACGTTTCCAGTTTAATTCAGCGCCACAAAATGAACTGACACTTAATTAGCAACTGATATGCTTACTTAGTCAATTATTCAGCTTAATTAATTAATTTTTAACAAAGGCGAAACCTTCTTTGCAAAAAACATCCCAGCATATTCTTTAGAAGAGCAGTGCAAAACATTCTGATCCATCGCGCTAATTGTTTCCCTCTTATTAGTCTTATACGTGCAATTAGCAACGTACATACTACGTATTTTTTTTTGTAGAAAATTTAAAGCGACAACTTAAACAATTATTTTGTAAGACAAATATGAGGTTCTTTTAGTCAAAATTCTTGAAGTATCATTTCCTGTTATTTCTCATTCCTTATCCCTTCGCTGCTCTCCGAATCTCTGATGCCGCTCATGCAAATCGTTTTACGATAAATGCATTTACCGGTGATGCGTGACTATCAAGCGCAGCATTCAAACATCGCTCGCATAAGTCCATCGGTATGTGTTTTTATTGGTTACTGCTTATCTCTTTGGACTTCGAGCCAAAAAAATTGTTAAAGCAATACCAGGCTGGGAATGATAAAGCTGGATATCCTTGAGGTCTGCTAATGTCTGGCAGAAATCAGCAAGTCAAGTTGCTGCAAGCGAGTTCTAACGCGTAAAGAAATGTAGAGAATAGAATGTGCTGGCGGCAACGGCGTCACGCTGTCCAGACACACGGAATGTGAGTGCGCAGACTGGACTCGTATCCAACGCGAGCGTATAAGCGCTGATTCATACAGCGAGAGAGGAACGAGAGAGCAAGTATGCTCAGTGAGTGCGCCCGCGGTGTGATTCGCTAGGCGGAGAGTGCAGTGCAGCCACTCACGTACGTACAAGAGGGGGCGAATCAGCATGTGTGCAGTGATACGCATACGCAAAGTGGCTATTACCGTGGACTAGGAATGAGTCCAGGACGGAGACCCAGACTGACAGGATCCCGTGTAGTGAGCAGTGTTGTATACTACGAGCTATGCGGAAACGCAAGACACCCGACAATCAACTGCACACTTTTATATCCCATTCATATGGCACTACAGATGCTCCCGCAGCAGAATGCTGCGGGGCCAAAAGTACAGCAAGTTACTCAGACGACGATGGCTAGCAACTGAAGAATCTACCAGATTGAAGATCTGGTAGATGAAGAAAATCAACATCAAAATACAGCAAAACAACTAAGCACCCGCACCAGTGCGGGTGGGCGGGGAGGCCACTCCTCCTCACATGGCGTATCTATCACGCAGGCTGTCGTGCCTCTAACACTACTCAATACCGCATCCCTCGTATTTCGTAATGACGTACTTAATTCCATATTGACACTTTGATCGGTAACGATTCACGACCCTGTTTCACTCTTGAGGTTAGCTTATTTTAATGCGCGCAGAGTGGAAGACGCTTTCGTTGATCTCCCAGTCCCAGCACAGCCAAGATGATATGCGATGGATTCGGTGTGCACGTTCTGGGCCGCGACGGTCGACTGCGCTACGGCCGCGTGGTCGACGTGGCAGACAACGGGCTCTTTGTCGACATGCTCTGTTCCAACCGACGACGCGAATTCTTCCCAAGCGACAAGTGCTTTTCGCCTGAATTTCTATCGGGAGACGTCCTGGCTAATCACAGCGCTTCAAAATCCGACTCCACCGTTCCCGTAGTCGTCCTCGTCTTGGAGACTCCTCGCGGTCCGTGGATTTGGGTTCCCGGCGAAATATCCTGCCATGGACGCGGTGTGCAGTATGCGTTCTACGAAGAGGCGGTTGTTCGTTGGCAAGATGTCCTGACGGGAATCCCCCGCACCGATGTCGTCCCGATCGACCGCATCCGCTGCTTCCAGGACGGGAAAAGACGCCGTGCTGTTCAAACGGTTGAATACACAGCACTTCACCCGCGCATGCAGCGAGACACGTTCATCCGACACAGTGGTATAGGTCAATTGCATTTGGGTAACCGATGCGCGTCGGGTAACGGAGAAACGGGTAAAAATCTGTCCATGACTCAGCGAAAAAAATATCGTCCAATCGTAAGGCGAGTACGCTTCCGTGCCAAGAAAGAAATTGAACAACGGAAAAACTGAAGTGGAACTGAAAAATCTGTTTTGATGCTTTAATGCGGTAAAACGTCAAAAAAGTTGATTCTGAGTTTAGAAGTGTCAATCTGGGTCGCCGGATGCACTTTTGGTTCAAAAAACAAAAATTTTGTTGATCTGGGCAGGAGAGTTACGAGTTACTCGTAGTTTGGGTAACGGTTGCGCTTCGACGTCGAAGCGCAACGGTTACGCGGACGGGTAAGCTGAAAACCCATCCCAGAATTCTGGTTTACCAATCAAATCGTTTACCTGCTTACGCGCCGTGACGTCATGTTTTTTTTACCCGACTGCCGCTTGCGCGTCGCGTAATGCTTACACAGAGCAATTGACCTATGCCAATGTGCAGCTAGACGGTGCATTGCGTTCGTTGTCGCCCGAGGAGGCGCAAACACTCGTCCAGCGTTGGAATACCGGCACTCTGTGGTACGCCTGCAAGGGCATCCGCTTAGTAGACATCGTTGGCGATCGGTTGGACTACTTGTACAAATCTGGCTGTGTTATATCGGACCCGATTGAAATATTATGCCTTGTGGTAAGGAGTGTTCGGTTTGATGTTTTTAGATTAAAATTACCCGATACTTGCGAAGCCCTTTTTTGTAACACTTATAACATACTTCAAATAAGTGAATTGTTTAAATTGGTCTGAAAACCATCAGCGCGCCGCGCCGCAACTTCCGATTGCCGAGATAGGACGATTTAAAATTGGCAAAAGTGCATTGTCGTGTGACTCGTGTACCAAAATGCTGATTATTTTTTACAAAGTTTGCTGTTAAACGCACATGATTCTAGAATCTAGAGTATGAAATTACACAGTTTCCTAGAATTGCAAAATGAATTTTTACGTTTATTTATTTCGTCATTTGTTTTGATTTTGAAAAATGTAAGTGCTGACGAACTGACATTGATTCGGATTCCACTTTGTCTGCATAATAATGCGCAATTTTCAACCAAATTTTACGAAGATCCGGGCAACAATCCGACTTTTTCTACAGCATGTAGAGTGTAGACTCTTGGTCCATTTTCAATCGACACTTTTCGGCAATCGGATATGAAGAGCGCAAAAGACTTTCAGAGCAACGTAGAAAAATTATTTAGCTGCAAAAAAGACATAAAATTTTTGCGCAAAAGTATTCGAGCTGCGCGGAAACGGAAGATTTCTTTGTATTTACAGTACGAATTCGGTACCCTGTACCAGACCATTTCCTGTAGAAATCAGCATTTAGATAGTACGCTATATATATGTTCCAGAATGTAGTGAAAGGTTTGCAAGATGACTGGACCTTCATGGCCAAGAAGATGATCAAGGAGGACTACAGCGGGCTGCCGGTGGAACTTTGGCGGGAAGTGTTTTCCGAGTTGGACACGGTGTCACAGACTCGGCTGCGTATCGTCTGCTCCACGTGGAACATGCTCATGGATTCGCCAGCGCTCTCGGCTCTCATCGTCCTAGAACGCCGCTGTGTCCCATGTAAACGGTTTCCCTGCGAACATTTTCACCCTTTATTGTCGGCGGCGCTTTTCAAACGTCTCCGTCCAGGCACCCGCCACGTTGCGTTGGTGGATGGAGAGGGAACGATGACGCCAAACGACCTGCTGAATATGAGCGACATGTTGCTGTACACGGCGAAGCATCGACCAGAAATCCGATTAACCGCGCTGCATCTGATTGGTTGGCAGATTTCCTTCCTGGTCAACCGCGCCACCGACCACTGTGAAGAGCCAAGCCCGTGTGTGCAGCATAATCCCGACCCCTGGTCTGCGGGAACTTATCGTCCACGTCTGGTTCGCGAACACTGCCGTCTGCAGGATTTCATTAAAATTTTTAGTAGTTTGCCGTGCGAATCACCGCGCCTGGTCAATTGTACGGTCAAATGGTTCTGCCCATTCGACGATCACCGGAGTAGACCGCAGAAAAGGGGTCCCGCTTTGGAGATGGAATTTCCGGAAGTGTGTCTGAATGTCACCAAGGATTTCGGTTGCATGCTGTGGGAGGCCTGTGAAATAATGTTGCCGGCGCTGAGTGACGAAGATCTGCAACAGCTGATGCAGTGGGTCACTGGGTTGGCTGATCCTGATCTGGATGATGACGAGGAAGAGGAACTCAACGTATCGGTAGTTGTTTGCAAGGTAAGGTTGCTCCGCTTTAACTGCTGTTTTCCTTAACGTTGACGCTGCGGTTGTTTGTTCACAGGTATTGCGTGCCACGCAGTCCAATGACCCGCGTTCGTCGTCGCATTACCGCGGAAAGCATTGGTGCTACGAAGGTCTTGAAGGGCTGCAGTTGGAGAAGCTGTCGCGTATTGCGCTGCTCTTCCTCTGGCAGCTAGCGCTGCCATCGGAAAAGGGATGGCGATACGGCTGATAATCGGTGGCCAATGGCCAAATCGGCCGTTTTTTCAAGAGAAGTGTGTGCATTTTCTGTTTGCGCGCACTCGTTCTGTTTCGTATATTACAGCAATGAACAAGTTTAGTGTTACGTTTTTATAGTTTTTACAATATTTTGACTGGGGCGATGTTCAATCGGATTGATCCGCATAAAATTTAATTAACGAGATTTTTTTCTTTCTTTGTATAAATAACGGGTAAAACTGGAATAAAAGGAAATTTTAAGGGTGCCTTTGTCATACCAACGGCCATCTGTTCAAATACCAGCACCGCTGGTTCCAAGGCAGGTCGGCTAATACAGGAATAAACTAGGAAAGAGCACCGCTCTTGGCGTGCACGAAAAGACCAAAGCAAAGCGGGAAGCCAAGTCTAATTAATTTAACCTCTTTAAGTTTTTTTCTTGACCAACGGTTTTACTACACATATGCATATGAATTTGCCTGAGAAAATCAAAACTTGAACGTTATCCGCATCCATGAGTCTCTCTGCCAGACCCGCTATACACGTATAAAGACACATTACCACCAAATCCAAGAGCTGTTATGTGGTCAGGTTACAATTTTTAACCGATCTCATGAAAATTTCTTGTAGAAGGCGCATGATCATGAAGACAAATCTGAACCAAAACCGAGATCACAAATTACGTTACAATCCTTCGCAGCCGATTTTGCACAAACTGAATTAAAAAGGATTGAGTAGGGTTAATTTGATACTATGAAAAGGCAACTACGTAAAAGCGGTACAAGGTTGCGTTACCGCACTATATAAATGGTAGAATACAAACGCACGTACAATAAATTCGTTGTTTTCTTACAGTTTGGACTTGGGAGTGTGCGCAATTTATTAATTCAAATATTTAAGAAATGCGCATTTTGCATCAAACGATGCCAGCAAGGAACAATTACAAACTTAGCATAAAGCGGCAGACTAATCTCAAGGCGACAGATCCCGGAAACGCTTCACCTTTGTACAGCTAATGGGTGTTTTTCAACATCCAAGAATTCTAAAATAAATCAAACAAAACAGAAAGCTACAACTTAAACGTAAAAATTATAAAAAAAACTTGCTCGAGTAGATATAATTGAGCTTTACAATGCAGCAAAATAGTAAAAGGTTATTATGGCGCACTGTGCGGCCAACCAACAAAATCGAAGACAAATTAATAACACAAAAACGTCCAGCCGGCGCATCCTTTCAAGAGCTTACTCCGCTCGAAACTATCGCGATACCATCGGCACTACTTGGTTCTCTGTTTCTGAAAACCCTGAATGATAAGCTGCTATTTCGCAAGGATGAAACCCAGGTTCTGCATCGTCCATTCTTAATTAATAAAGTAATAGCTGTAAACAGAGTGGCGATCCCAAACAGAGCGCCTACCAAGATACCCGGGATCGATTGCGACCTTAGTCTTTGTGGCGACAGTGCGAGAGGCCCGATTTTCCGTGGTAAAAGCGTCGTGGAGAAGGGAGCCAAAGGGAACGTTGGGGCCCCTGTTGCAGTGGGGTCCAGTATCAATGTCGAAAACATAGCGGTCGAAGACGTAACCGTGAGTGTTTGGTTGCACAGTGGCTCGTTTATAGAATATTCAATTTGCGTGTAATAGCTGATCCACTCCGTGCTGAGAGGAAACGGTTTATCGCTACAGTTGATTGGATGAAACAAACCTTCTTTGCTAAATTCATCATTGCAAAGTAGGGCAGAGGTAGGTCCATCGAACGAATACAATTCCTCTATTTGCGCTTTTAGACGTAATTGCTTATTGCTCCGCCACCATGATCGATACCAGCTAAATTCACAGCTGCAGTGCAAACGGCGGAGAAATTCTCGATAAGGAGCTTCGAAATTTTGGTTTTTCTGGGTGGCCGATAATGCTTCTAAAGAAATTATCCGCATTTCTGGCAAATCGGTAAATGTTCCCGGTTGCATAACATGGACGGTACTGTTGCGAAAAGTAGTTATCCGCAACTGTTGGAATACCGAAATGTCCGTCTTCTCAATAATCAGATTGTGGCAGTGGTGAAGTTCTAAGTGTAGTAAGTTGACAAAATTGAGCTGCTTAAGTCTCAGGGTCACGCGTTCGGTGGTGCAATTGTGTATCTGCAGCTTCAGAACTTGGATCCGAATCGGCTCGAAGGAATAACTGGAAATGAGTCGTTCGTCGACATCTATGGATACCGGTCGCACAGTCTTATCGGCCATAACAGCCGTCATACTTTCTAGAACCGGCACCGGAGCGTCCGACCGGCAACGAATATGAAAATAATTCCGGCGTCTGCAGTTCTCTTGCGTGATTTGACCGGGCGCACAGTAATCGTTAAACTGCACCTGGCACCGATCTCCCTCTATCGGTTCCAGTGAGAAATTTGGGAAGTTCTCCCTTTTACGGGCCGTTTGGCTGACGCGACGAATGGTTAAAGGGCATTTATAGGTCAATGCTATCTTTGCAACATCGCTCGGGGTCATGGCCAATTGTTGACCCATACGGACCACTAGGCCTTTTTTGGGGATCAACACAGGACTGTTATTGAATACGGCGAAAGCGAAGGCATCATAATGCATTACGGAATGGTAATCGTACTTGAGTCCAAAAGTGTTTATCGAGGATATTCTAACGAAATTATCAGGGTAATCTGCCGGTATTACGTTTCCGCTGCGTACGTCGACATACTGGTCGCGGTCGGGGCGTTGTTGTTCGTGACGAAAGCCCAAAGCGTGCATCAGCTCGTGCTGGATCCTTCCCGTGTTTATACATGATGTTGAAGTAAGGTGTATGGGCCGGGCCAGATCAACATACTGTCTCCCGCCTACTCTGCCTACTTTTGAGTCGCATCTGGTACAGAAACGTTGGTGTCAGGTAGTCGTTGTTGGTTAAAGATACTAGAGCCTAAACTCACTTGTCCAGAAAGTTTCCAAAGAAGTAGATATAATCATCTTCACTGGTCTTAGGCTTGAACAAAATACATCCTCCTGTTTTCTTCTCCATGATGCGGAGAGCCTTAACAATCGCTTGCTGTTCTGATGCACCTGAATTATGAATTTATTATATTCAAATTTTTTTCACATGGTTTGGACATTTTAATACTCGTACTACAGAAATCATATAAAAGGAGATGGCAACTCATCCTTAATATCGAATAGCGAGAATGAAATTTAAGGTTGGTTATAAGACTGTTGAACTATGCCAAGTCCATAAAATTTTTTTTATGCTTACTAAAAATTTCGCTGATCACATAAGGGATGGCGGTGCGATTCGGCCATAGGTTAATACTTGGATCGTCCACATATTTGATAGGCGTTTGAAAAAGATCTGCGAAATACACAATTGTTAAACTGCCTCACGAAAAACTGATTTTGCAGTAATCCAAATGATATTAAACAAACACAAAAAACCTTTGTAGCTAATGTAACAAAATCCGTGCACAGCAAAATTCTGGAAAGGTCAACTTTGTACAATGAATTTTCTGCACAATGAGGATTAATTATGATATTATGCCAAATTTTATTTTCATTAAAATTTTGGTCTAGGTATAGTATCAGAATTCTAGCACAACGACATTCTTCATAAAAAACTGATAATAAGCGGTCAAATTGATGCGACACTTCTAAGTGTCGCCGGATTTACAAACGGTTGCGGAAAAAAATATTAATCCAATTGACTGGCACCGGTGAGCAAAGCCGATGCGCGTATTGGTATACTCGTATAATTATATTAACGGAAAGGCAGGTATTATTCATACACAACTGTACCTTCTGTTATTACAACATTTCCATCCTCGTCCGAGACTGCCTTTGCGTTGTTCAAATAAAAGAACGGAATTAACAGATATGATAGGGAGTGTAATTTCCTACCCATATCTGTCGAACCATGGGCAACCAAATTGCCCAGCACCTTTTTGTACTGCTGTTCAAAAATCACGGACTGTAATAAATTTCTGGATTAGCACTCAACCTTTTAGCACAGCGCAATGAAATCAAAAAAAAGAAAACAATATATTTTGCTCCCTATAGCAAACAAGTTTGACGCCAACAATAAAAATTCACCGTACATCACCAACTATAAATTCCTGCACATGTGTCGGAGTTTTGAGCAGATACACGCGAGCAATATTTAAAACCACTGCATCATGTACCGTATAGCAGATAACCCGGTATGTAAAAATGCTGTACCGATGCCGGATGTCGGTAGCAAGATTTGTGCGATAAGCCTCAACTTTGCGGTCACTCCCCGATCAGTAATGACAGCGATGATACTGTCTGAAACACTCACGATTCATGCGCTGTTAAATGCAGCGGGACCCAGTGTGGTGTACCGCTGCATTTAACATGCGCTGTTAAATGATGCGCATTTGATTCATGCGCTGTTAAATGCAGCGGTACACCACACTGGGTCCCGCTTTAAGTTTCTGATTTATCTGACTTTTGGTCAGGCACTTTGCCTTTTGTACTGGTATACCGTATACTGGCTTTTAAAGCGTTCTCGTTTGGAGCTAAGCTTTTACTCACGATGCAGCCTTGTCAGAGAAATTTTTTGAACAGTTGTAGGAGCGCACTTTATATATGTAGCCAGGGCAAATTTTCCGGGTCTTAACTCGTCAAAATCTCATTTCTTGTTTAGACAATTCAGTAAAACCTGCGTACTTTGAATACCACCGGTTCTCAAATTTTCGTTCCGTACAAACGGCTGTTAAATGTTCAGAACATCTGCTCCTCACGGGGGTCGCCACTTGGGGCTGTTATCTTGTATACGGGACCCACCCATGGGTGGTGACGAGAGCCGCCTCAAAGGGACCTTATTAGCAAGCCTTTAGGGAACTGCATATTACAATAATGAAATTATTATTGCAACGATGAAAGATGCCCGTAAATCGTAATGTAGTTGTCTGATAAATGACGACATGTGTGGTCGTAATAATTTGCGATGCCAGCTGATATCTGATGAAGTGAATCAGGCGCTAACGGACAGTCGGACACCGCAAAGGTTTCCGATTCCATGTTCTTCGTAATCGAATTTTTAATCGTGTACACCATGTACTTGGACACGTGGACTTGTTTACTTAAAACATGTACATGCAGCACTTGTACACGTGTACCTTCAAAGCTTATCTCTTTTATTGTAGGACTCTGTCAGAGAATGTGGCACGGAAACCTTCTTTCCACTTTTGTTCGAATTTGATGATTCATCTTTACCGATATCGTTTTTAAGGAAAAACATCACCTTCAACGACCTGTTCCTGAGCAAAAGTTTTCAGATAATGAGTAATAACTTTTTAGAGTGGGGTTTTGGCAGGGCATTATCATTCCCATGCGCATTATCGCAGGCAATGTGTAACCGCTTTATTTATTTAAATGCAATATATTTAAAATTTTTAACGAAATGTTGTTCAGAGCTATGTAGGTACAGAACGACAATATGGAATACAATTCTGCGCCTTTTTCGATTTTTATTTCGTGCATTTACTTTACCTCAAACTTGCAAGCTTATCTGTAGTTCAAAAAAAGTTACCGGTATTATGCGGTATAAAGCTGCCGGGTCCACTTACAATGCTACCATTATTACGCGGTGTAAACCGGGTCAGCAGAAGAGAAACTGGCCAACATCACAGATGTTGCAAGTGGTGGTTGAACGGTAGAATATGATGTTGTGATCACCGCGGGGCTAGTGCTACTCTCGTAGCCTGCTGATTTCTCGCAGTTCGGCTCGTTAACCGAATACTCAGTGTTAACGTAGTAATTAATCCACTCTGTGCCGAGAGGAAACGGATCCGCGAGGCAGTTCACAGGATGATAAAGATCCTCTCTGCCAAACGCAGCGTTTTCGAAAAATTCATTGAGATAACGTCCGTCGAATGAATGCAATTCGCCAACCTCAACTCTAAGGCGCAGCGTTTTATTGCTCCGCCACCAGGCGCGATACCAAGCCAACTCGCAACCGCAGTGAAGTTTTTGCAAAAACGAGCGGTAATCCGGTTGAAAATTATAGTTCTTTTGGCTCTCCGACAGCGCTTCCAAAGACAGTATTTGCAGGCTGGGTAAATCCGTAAATGTACCCGGTTGCAGTACATTAACTGTACTATTGATAAAATTATTCGCAGCCGTCGGAAAATCGTGAAATCATTTCTTTCGATAGTCAAGTTGTAGCAGTCGGAAAGTTCAAAATGCAGCAGGTTGGTAAAATTCAGTTCGTTCAACCGGGACGTCACGCGTTCAGTGGTGCAGTTATGTAACTGTAATTTCAGGACTTGTCGTTTTATGGGCGTGAACGAGTACTTGGCAACCAGTTCCTCTTCCGCGTTTATGGATACCAGCCTCAGCGGCTTCTCTGCCATATCCAACGCCATTCGCTCGAGAATCGCAACGGACGCATTTGAGCGGCAGACAATACGATAATCCAACCGTTTTAAGCAGTTGGATATTGTGGAGACGTCAGATTGGCAGTAGCGATTGAACTGCGCGCCACACTCGTCTTCGCCCATTGGCTCCAAAGAAAAATTGGGAAAATCGTCATCGCTCATTCCGTTCTCTTTATGCGTGGCGACGATGTTTAGTGCACACTGATAGGCGGTCAGGACTTTCGCAATATCGGCTGGGCTTAAACCCGCTTGTTTTCCCGCGCGGATAATAAGGCCTTGTTTTGGCACCATAGCTGGGCGGCGATTGCCGGTAGTACTGGCATCAAATGCGCTGTAGTGAAGAATGGACTGATAGTCATACTTGATCCCGAAGGTGTGGATGGAACTGTCTAACCGGAAGTCAAAATCGGTCAAGAGGTCGTAGTTGATGTTGGCATGGCGCACGTCAACATACTGGTCCCGGTCGGGGCGCTTGTGTTCGTGGTCAAAGCCTAGGGCATGCAGGATCTCATGCTGGATTCTTCCTGTGTCCATGCACGATGCTGATGAGAATAAACCAGGTATAGCCAGATAAATGTACTGAGAGCCACCGCCTTTCCCTCCAATAGTTTCAGAAGAGCACCTAACGCCATAAATATTATAAATATTACAATACGAGGCGTGTGTCCCTTACTTAGATAGAGCACATTTACCTTACCATACTTAGATAACTGTGTCCGTGTTGTGCACTCAATGTGCAGCGCTGTCAACCACCCAGAGATGGCAACGCTAGGGCGAATTTGAAAAATGTGTTGATTCAGCCGTTGATAACTTCAATTGCTCACATCTCGTGAATGTGGGAACAAAACTGTTCAAGCAATATCTCAAAAGATGCAGAAAAAATTCACAAGATATTTGATACCAAGTAATATAGGTTTAGAGCAACTGAAAAAAGGTGCAGCCTTTTTGAGTTTCTCGTAGACACACTATAGGATCTCTTCGTGGACCCCTTCAACGTAATACTTACTATGCTATGTCTATGGGAAACAGAAATGGCTCTAATTTATTTCAGTCGCTCTAAATCCTGACTTACTTGGTATCAAAAAACTTGTGAATTTTTTCCACATCTTTTGAGATATTCCTGGAACAGTTTTGTTCCCACATTCACGAGATGTTAGCAATTGAAGTTATCAACGGCTCATTCAACAGATTTTTCAAATTCTCCCTGACGTTGCCATCTTTGGGTGGTTGACAGCGCTGCACAACACGGGCACAGTTATCTTAGTATGGTAAGGTAAATGTGCTCTATCTAAGCAAGGGACACACGCCTCGTACTTACGTTAAGTACGTATAACTTCCATTGGCCAGATTGTACTGAACCGTGAAGTAACGCAAAATTTATTGGCTAGCGTAAAGATTATATCAAACGCTAAATTAGTTATCGAACGCCGTTACGGAATAATACACTGACACGCAACAATTTTATTTGGCGAAGCGAATGAGCGACGTACTTCGAGGCATATATGGGCGAAATGTAGATATAGTCGATTTCGTTTGTTCGGAGTTTAAACAAAATACAACCTCCAGTCTTCCGTTCCATAATGCGAAGAGCTTTCCAAATCACTCGCTTCTGTGATTTATCTGTGGTTAAACACGTTGGAAGTGTGAAATCATATGCACAATCAATAACGCGGCAAAAGGTCGCCTCGAGCGCGTACTACGGTCGTACATTCCTTTAGTATTTTACGCATGTAGTTTTGCCATATTTTGCCTGCGCAACCGAGACGCCCGGAACAGTAATACCGCAGCAACTTTACCGGATGCCTGAAACGCTTTGCGTTAATTATTCCTTACCAAATTCACTGCTGATCCAATAAGGAATAGCTGTACGGTTCGGCCATAATTTGAGGCCAGTTCTCCAATCGGCATTTGGGTCCGAATATTTGACCGGGCTGATGAAAATGTCTGTAAACAAAAATGTACGGATATACTGCAGCATAATCCTTATGTTTTATGATTTCTTGACTGCATAAGTAATTTCACCATCACTAATTTCTCCGGTTTGACTGGCTTGTGCTAATCAAGACCCAATGATAAAAAATGTTAGGAGAATTCGTTTCTTACCTCTAATATGTAGTTAACTTACCAGCGGTTATCTCCACATTCTCGTTTTCATCAGCTATTGCTGCCGTGGTGTCAAAGACTACAGCAGTAAATAAAAGAAAATTTATTAAAATCCATCTATACACGGAAAAGCGATGAAGTACGCTTAAAGAAATTGTTCCCATAATTTTCAGCGATATTCAGCAATTTTTTGTGAAATATGTAGTACTGAAAGTCAGTGATGCTGTGACGGATTTGGCTGCGCCTTATAAAACTTCCCCGACAACCAATCTTAATAATTAAGTGTCAATGAACTTAACTCTGTAAAGTGTCAGTGACTGCCCGATGGTATTGGTGACACTTTATTGCCTGATGCAATAATCGCGATCGCGATGTTGCAAATTACCGTGAACAGCGATAAAATTTAAGCTTCCCGGAAATGACGAAAAAAATGAGATTTTTGTCGGTTTCCAAACTGTGTTTTTATTAACCTCAGGAAACAAACCTTGCGCGCCGCTAAATATTATCCGTTTTATATTTCTACTTCCAAAAAAAACAGAAAGGAGACTATATTGATTATGTCAATAACCTAAATATGGTGTAACTTGGCGTCAAAATTTTTTAAAAGTGTAAATACGCGCTTACATAGTTAGTACAGATACATACATGTACATAGTTAGTTTATTCGGTACGAGATTTATTTAACATTAAATGAGTGCATACTGCGGTATTTCCGTTAGTACAGTGCGATTTTCTTACAGAGATCCAAGCAAAACCAATCTATTCAAATTCTTTAAGTACTGAAAATTTTGGACAACCATTATCGAAAATGAAAATAATCTTGCGCCTCACAATTCTGTACGATCGAAAACTTTAAAGCCGTCTGTTTTTTATCAATCAAATGGAGGTGCTTATGAGTAACTGGTCTGTAACACATGCCCAACCGTCGGAAAGGCAATAGTTCAGCACGCCATTAAAAATTAATAGAGCGACGATACATAAGTTAGCGCCTAAACGAAACACCTGAAGAGAAACACGCACAATGATGTTTACAGGAAGAAAATAACAAATCTCAACAAGTGTGTGGTATTGCCGGTACGCCCCACTGTTTCAGTTATGTGGCTTTAATAAACACCCGTCCGGCCGTCCGTAAATTCCGATCTTAAATCAGTTACCACAATTGCTCCAGCGCACAAACCATTCAGGAATCAGCCATGCTTGCTATAAGAAAGTGCTGTACAAAGTACGTAACTCGTGCGCTTAGTTAATCCTTGCGACTACATATTCCTTATAATTTATTTTGGAAATTAAAAAAACATTCCCCATTTGTACGATGCAAACATTTAAATAAATATTTAATTGTTTGATCTGTATCGAAATGCCGATGCCTTCTTAGTTTCACGACGCAGTTTAGCACGAAGGTCTTCGTGGGAGTCAATTTTCTGGTTTTGACCTTAGGTTACGCAGAACAAATACGTACACGCATTTAATTACGAGAATAACTCAGATCGTTCTTATTAAATTTAGTAAAAAGATGAAAACCAAAACAGAATGGGCAGAACAAACACCCGTACGGTTTCCTCTGATTACCGCAGCGACGTGACATTTCATGTTTGAATTTTTCCGTGACGAAGAGCGACTCAAAACAGATGACAGAAAAATTATTCAGTTATTCCATTTAAATAAAGACATTTAGGGAATCAATTTGCTGTGGCATTAATGAATTAAGAGAAAAAATTATTCGGACGCCGTTGTAGGAAGCGGTTCGTTTGTAGAAGGGTCGTTCACTGGTGCCATGGTTTGTTCAGGAATCGTTTCGTTGGGAGAACTGTTGTTAGCTGTGGTTGAGCTTTCCAGGGGAATCGATTCGTTCGTAGAATTAATGCTGTCTGATGCAACGGTTTCTGCAGGAACTGGCTCACCGGTAGAAGAAAAGATGACGGACGATGTGGTTTTTGTAGTTGATGGCGATTTCGTGACCATTGTAATTTTGGCCGTAGTGACTGCGTTGCTCCCGTGCATAATTGACGCATCGCAAGGCGGCTCGTTAACCGAGTAATCAATTTGTGTATAGTAATTAATCCATTCCGTGCCGAAAGGAAACGGATCAGCGCGACAATTTACAGGATGATAGAGATCCTCCTTGCCGAATCCAGAGCTATCGAAGACTTCATCCGAGTACCGACCATCGAAGGAATATATATCGCCGATTTGGGCACGCATCCGCAACTTTTTATTCTTGCGCCACCATGAACGATACCAAGCAAACTCGCAGCTGCAGTGAAGATTCTGCAAGAAGCTTCGGAAAGACTGGTCAAAATTGTAGTATTTTTGGTCCTCAAACAGCGCTTCCAGTGACAGTATCTGCAGGTTTGGCAAATCGGTAAAAGTTTCTTGTTGCATGGTTTTTATGGTGGTGTTGTAAAATATGACTATTCGCAGCCGCTTGGAGGTGGTAAAATCCTTCTTAACAATGACCAAATTGCGAGCGTCGTACAGTTGAAAATCCAGCATACTGGTGAAATTAAGATCGACCAACCTCGATGTCACGCGCTCCGTGGTGCAGTTGCGCAGCTGTAGCTTGACGACTTGGCGTTGTATTGGCGCAAAAGAGTATTTAACAATCAGCTGTTCTTCCAAATCCATGGAAACCATTCGCAGCGGTGGTTCAGCCATATCCACTGCCATTCGCGCAAGTATGTTCAGCGATGCGTTTGACCGGCAAACAATCCGGAAATCAGTGCGGTCGGTGCAGTTGAATGTAGTGGTGATGTCGGATTTGCAATAGCGGTTGAACTGTGCGCCACACTCCTCGTCGGTCATTTTTTCAAGGGAGAACTTGGGGAAGTCGTCGTCAGCATTAGGCTGTTTTGTGCCGCGAGTAACGTTTGGCGGGCAGTTATAGGCAAGCATGATCTTTGCAACGTCTGTCGGACTGAGTTTCTTTCTTCTCCCCATTCGTGCTGTGAGGCCTTTTCTGGCTATCATGCCAGGATTTCGTCCCAGAGCGTTAGCCCACGTGAAGTAGTGCAGGATGGATTCGTAATCGTACTTGGTTCCAAATGTGTACATATTTGGATTGATCGCATAGGAAGAGTAAAAATAGTCACTGTCAATGCTGCTGTTGCGTACTTCCACATACTGGTCACGATCTGGGCGCTTGTGTTCGTAGTCGAATCCTAGAGCACGCATGATTACCATCTGGATGTCACCTGGGCTGAAGCATGGGCTAGTGTAATAGGATGATAAATACGACGGACTTCCCAGGTTAACATCTTGATAACCGCCTGTTCTTCCAAGGTCCGTACTGCACCTGCGGGATATAAGTACTCGTATAAAATAGTTACGCTTGGTGCCTTTTAATACGGGCTTATAAAGTCTAGAAGAATCGTGACGTACTTTCCGGTGCTGCTGCCTTGAAAGTAGAGGTAGTCAGTTTCATTTGTTCTGGGCTTGAACAAGATGCAGCCTTTCGTCCTTCTCTCCATTGTGCGAAGAGTTTTCAAAACCACTTGCTGTTCTGTCTGATCTGTGCAAATAAAGTACGTTTTACACACAGCTGGCCGAAAAATATGTATCGTCCTATGCCATAAATAAGTCTACTACGTACTTTGTATTTCAATAACTGTATGAGTTGTACAGCAACTTGAACGCGAGCTAAACCTAATAAATTGGTAATGATATCAATGTACTACTCTAGTAATGTATTATTGTTCGAGTTATAAACTAGTGATAAATATAATAGCATTTAAAAATTAATCGAAACTGCTGACTGCAGTGCCTCTTCTGCGGATATAAATAATACGACATACATATACTTGAATAGAAAAAATTTGCGTTTTAGAAAACCGTTACGATAGAACAACTTATTCTGTGTACTTACTAAGGCTATACGTGCTCATGTAATAAGGGATGGCGGTGGGGTTGGGCCATAGCCGAGGTCCGGTTTTGGCAATAGCGTTTACGTCCGAAAAGCTGAGTGGTGTGTTGAAAAGATCTAAAAATAAGAACGTTCGCATATAATAAAGTTGATGAAGACGTCTGTCTCATCGTTCACAATACGAAAGAGTGTGATAAGAGCGTTGAGTTTATTGACCAGCTAATTTAAAGGTGCATTATGATTAGGGTGTCTGCCAAAGGTCGCTGACCATCACATTGATAAGCGACCAGAGCGCAGAGAATGTCTCCTAACTGAGAAACAGGAAACACACGAAATTGGGTGTCTGATTTTTACAGAAGTGCACCGGTGACGACGTACGAGATAATCGCGTGTGGCGTCACACGGCTCTATTCAGGCGATTTTCCAATAAGGATATTTGTGCGGTATTAATAATAAGGCTTTCGGCAAACGCTCCGGCAAACGGTTCGGAGCGTAAAATATTTAATAAATATTTTACTGTCACCATGCACCGTACAAGAAAAGCTTCGGCTTCGCGTCCGCTTTTTCTGGTTTCCACGGTCAGTTCAAATAAAGAATTTTGATTAGCTGAATTAAAATTACCCGCTGGCTTTTGATCAGACCAAAGAAACTTCGACAGAAACAAAAACGTTTCCGTTTTTTGTGTGGATAGATTGCATTAAAAACTGATGGCACAAGACCGAAAAAATTTATTTTCTCTGCTTAAATCTAGCTCACACGCTAAATCGCTGCGCCTTCTTGTGCATGCATTTTCCAAATTATCTAAGGAAAGCTGCCCGGCTGAATTTAACCGAACAAGTCCATAAACTGAGCTTACCTTCCGTTATCTCTACGTCTTCATTGTCCGCAATCGCTGATGCTGGATCGAAAAATACCGCGGCGACCAAAAAACAAAATAAAACAAAGAGTTCTGTCTTCATTAAAAAGGCTGACGCCATCGTAGCAAAAAGAGTGTTGATTAGGATTTGCTGTTGCATATACGTGAACAGAAACCATAAAAGCAAGCAAGGCTTGGTAAAAAGAATCTGTCTGGTTTTTATAAACGACGCCGGTACATGCCGTGAGCGCTGAGATAGAGGCAATCTGCCACATTGACAAACTGTGTGTGTGTTTTTTTGCAATGATCACGCTTTCTTTGCCTGATGTAATACGTAGGAGATGTTGCAAATAACCACCAGCGTAGCGGATGATGTTTTGTTAACCGGAACTGACGATAATTCTCCTCATAGTCGGCTAGCTATAATAGTCAGAATCAGGCACCGTTTGCCTTCCGGAAACTCTACCTGGCATATGCCACACTAAACATACTGTAGGTTCATCAGTAACGTTTACCCGGCTGAAAAAACTTGAGAAACAGTTTGTTGAAACTACATTCGCCTCTCCTTTCGTTTTTCAGCCGGCGAAGCACATGTCTTCAAATGTAGCCGAATTGGTTGTAGCTTGTAGGAGACCTGTTGGTTACGTGACTTATGTCCAGTAATACTGCGTCTACATCCGCTAATATAACCTGAATTGCTTGGAAAAAGGTTTAGTTTGTAAAAACAAATCTAGTGAGAAAACGCATGTATAAGTGACTAAAACCGCTGGCATTTTTCAGACGTATTTTTTTACTAGGCAGTAGGCACATATAATTTGGTGTAGGTTCATAAAATTATAGTCCATTGTCATACCAAAACCATAGAGTAGTCCTTCGGCTGATACTGTACTGAGTTTACTCAGTCTACTGTGCACAGAGGTTGTGATACAAAGCGTAAGTCTCCAAAACCTGGGGCCTGGGCTTAAACAAAATTCGAATTTTACAAGAACTTATATTCGGTCTGTCAGGGCGGTATATGCATACTTCTATTTTTATTTTTGTTATTTTCCCTTTAAAGATATGGATGGCTTAAAAATCAACACAAGCGCAAAAAGCAGCCAAAGAACATGCACTGAAATACAACGAATTATTTCAATTCTTAAAACATATACCTGTAATGCGTCGTTAGCGCCGGCAAAAGTTGTTGGTCACAGTGCAAAAACTAAAGTTATCGTTTTTTGTGCAGCGATGTCACTTTTTGCAGGCTGTTGCAGTACTGTAAGTAGCAGATGCTTGCAGATACAGTAACTTCAGGCACAATTGAAATTCTTGTGTACAGGATGTGACGACACTTTCCATCATTGCAATTTGATAAGGTGTCTTGAACTCGATCGTCAGCCTTTGAGGAGCAAACAAAATGCTACGTAAACCAAGTACTACTGCAACCGGCAACCCGGAACAAAATCCAGGGTAAAATGTTCGAAGCGTCGATGTCTATTCTTGAATATATTTACATCTATTCCTGCCACCGTTGTAGAGTCTACAAACGATGACGTAAACTGAATTCTACGTTATGCGTTGCTTGTCTTGCATTTTTGTATGTGCGGATACTCAAATCGTTATGTATAAACTAACGTGACAATTCTGCTACCGATTATATATGAAGCGCCTGTGCAGTTGGCCCAAAGTTCGGCTTCGATTTTCGCAACAGCATTTCGAACGTTTGCCGCCGCATAACGATATCCGTAAAACGACGTAGTTAAACAGGCAGGTGGCTTTAATGCACGTACTGGACCACAGACCCACACATTACAAAATGTTTCATTTACCTCCAGTGCCAGTATTGAAATCCTTTCATGTTTAAGACCTGTTGCGGATCACCGAAACAGACTGCGCTCAAACTAGAGGTTGCAAACCGTACCCGGTACTGCATCCACCGAATTCCGACGGAAAGGCAGACGCGCTCCGGCAGATTGGTGAATGAGTGGACCACTCATCCGCCAATCCGCCGGAATTCGGCAGGAAGATGGATGCGATTTCATTGAACGTCCAACATCCACCAATCCATCTTACTGCCGGAATCGGCCTGCGCTGAAAGTCTGAATCTGGTTCTGATTCTGAATGCTAAAAGTCTGAGTCTGAAACTCTGATTCTGATTACTGGAATCCTGGATCTGAATACTGAAATTCTGAATATGAATGGGAAGGCTCGGAACCTGGCCGGTGATGACCAAAGTCTCTGTAATAAAACCATAACAATATTATAAACTGAAGCATGCGAGCGAGTCTATAGCGCACTTGGATTCTACTATTATAAAACTGTAATTCAGACTATCCAGTAGCGATAAACAAAAGAAAAAATAAAAACGGCGGCAGCAAATTTGTAGAAGTACTAGTACTCTGTACATACGAGTATTTGTGCTGCAGATCTTATTGCAGAACAATAATATTTAATGCAGACGTTCTTCTTGATATGTTTCTTCCAAGGGTAGTGTATGCGAGACCTGGCTAATGCCGAATGTACGGGGGATTTATGTTCTTACAAATGTGCGACACAGTCGGCAACGACCTCTGTGCTTTATGTGGGATTGTTTTGTGTTCGTTCGGTTGATTAGCCGCGATGCAACAAACCTAAGAAACCTAAGAAACCCAAGAAAACCTAAGATATCCAAAAACTTAGAAACCTAAGAAAACCTAAGAAAGCTAAGAATAACCTATCAGCCATTCCTTGCGTGTTAGTCGACAATAAAAAATGGCAGACAAGTTACTCGCCACAAAGGAAACGATTACTAGCGCTATAAATGCAGGACCAAATGCAGCGAGAAAAAACCTTCTAATGAACAGTTGTACATGCTTTATTTTGTCTGTTTGAACAACACGGTCGGGGACACACTCGGCACTCTCGGCCTAATATTGCTTTTTACGAATCCTTTTCATGGATAAAAAATACAAAAAATTTTAAAAGGTCAACTTTACATCATGCTGCTAGCCCGAAGAACCGTTACAAAAAAATTAAGAGCCCTGCTAAAATACGTTCGTATCACGTCCTGAATGCACAAGGCTGAATGAAACAGAAGCATCCCGGCTTTAATATACAGTACATAACTAGAATAGACGCAGTTTAACGTGGAGCTTTAATCCGTTAATTAAATATGGCAGAATTTTAGGCACGGTACTGGCACGATAGGTGATTCCGCATACAAGCCGCTTAGGCAGTGCCGAGTGTGCCGAGGCTGTAATCTGGGTTTTACTCTGTGTAGAAATAATTTAATAAACCATGCCTACAGGGCGTTACAAGCGTAACTGCATGATGTTTACCGGCGCCGCTGTGATTGCAGTAGCAAGTTAGCAATTACCCTATAACAAGAAAAAGTTGTCACCGTAATTAGATCTCGACACTGTTATCGCGCTACTGAAATAAAGTACACGTCATCACAGTTGTCTGATGGCTTTAAAGTACGCAGTGTATTGTATTAATGTAACCTGCCATGGCGAACTTTGTGATGTTGCTTGGTATTCGGTAACAATACTCTCAGACTACGAGTGTTCGTAGGATCAAAGTATCCAACAATCGCTCCTAATGCAGAACGCTTTAACGTTTTTGTTTTTATGGTGCGCAAGTTATATTCTTCGTAGATCTGACGTTTTTATGTGTTTCTATTTTTTTCCACGTTAAAATGTAAAGGCATTTAGAAATTACTGTAATACTGTGCGCCAGCTGCATAACAGCATGAATGCTTGTGAGTAGTGCAAAACTATTAACGTGTTAACATGTTGTTAATTACATAATCTCAATTAGTGTTAGAGGCTTTATTTCGCAATATATCGTACAGCTTTGCTTACAAATACAACTAAATGAAGAATATGCTCCAACCAGCATGAGTTGGGATCGTACATAATACACCCATTGTACGAGATACATGTAAATACCGAGCATTATTAGTGTTATGCAACCTGCGACTAAAATCGTTGCCACTCTAACTAACTCAAATTATGCATACAGTACATAATGACGTCGATAACTTGTTAGTGTAGTATTTGCAAATAAACTTGACGCTTGCCGGTGCAGTGTACAAGTAATATCACGCTCCCTGTCCAAATTTTCAAGCAAATCTGTACAAAATCTATTGATTGTGGGACCTTTTAAGTAGCCCGTGAACCACCAAATTTTTTTATTGAGGTTGTAATACGCATATTAAAAATACACCGTGCAGTGTGCTCAGACTTATTAGAAGTTTTAACGTAAAAAACTGTCATATGTCAATAATAAGTACAAGTAAGGCAAAAATAGGTTGAACAACAAATTAAGTTACTAAATGGAAGTACTACTGTACTTACCCAAATTGGCATCGTAGTCGAATAAGTACTCGAATACAGCACCGGGAACGCAGATACTGACTGATACGAATTTATTTTTACGAATTTATTTTTACACTATGATGATCACTTCTTTTCACAAGTGGGTTCAAGCCTCGTGAATTTAAACCCTACTATGATCCTGTGATTTCTAATTTCCTGTCCAGTTTAAAAGCGTCCATATTTCATGAACATGACAGTGACAGCAAGTGCGGGCATTGTTCGCCGTTCGGTACTTAAAAAATTAGCGCCAGAATCAGAGTTAGAGGTAACTCTTCAACGCAACTCGGCAACAAGGTTTAACGTATGCACACCGCACAGTTGGATATACATATCTATACGGGCGCTCCGGTTCAGCTGCTTGTGTTGCGTGGCTTATTTTCGCCGCTATAATATTATACAACGGCAAAATAATCAGTTAGCGAAACAAGAAGATAAGGCTAGCTGTTTGCTACCGTGCGTATGTAAAAGTGCGCGTATACATGGCGCCTTTTTTTGGAATAGCAGCAAAGTTCCTGTTCAAATATACGGGCACATCTGATACGAACCAGTGACCGATACTGTAGAACACTCCAGATTAAAAGTTAAAACATGATAGACATTAGATAGTCACCATGTACCATCTTGCTTACTCTGGCATGTAATTGGTAGTCAAAACACTAACAAAATCGCGGCTTCATTCAATAAAAAATAAACTGACTATCTTTTTCTCTGCAGACCGTAATGTTTGCAAGCATTTATAGCACTAGAGTTTAATTTCCGGTCGAACTGTTTGTAGTCCTTAATACTACTGATGGCTTGCAGTTGAGTGTTATTGGAAATGTTTAATTAGCATTACACTGCTTTGCTGTATGAATATTTCAATTATTTACATGGCTGTAGAGGTATGAGCACTAGATTATTACCAATAATCATTTTGATATTAGTGTTTCTATTGGCTATGCAGTTTTGTGATCGCTATATTGCAATGGCAACTTCTAAGCTGCCCCTAGTGGGTTGGGTTACACACCCGTACCACGATAAAACTGGAGGTTCGATGGTTCGTCGGTAATTACCCAGATCTTAAGTAAATCACAATCTTACGTAACGCGCGAATTCAGGAACATCATCATCAATTTAATCAGAATCAGAGCAAATGCAAGAGCAAGGGCAAGAGCAAGAACATGTGGGAAAGTCAACCGTCTGCCGGTCAAGGCAGCGTGAGCACGTCTACTGATTTCACCTCCAGAAAAGTCAGAACATCTCAGAATTCTTCGTAACCGATAACATGGATTCGCAATTCTACTGAGATAAGCGGTACATCTGTTTCCGGCTGAGTTGTTACCGATGACAATCTGTAGAACATGATTCTACGGCTACAATATGTAAATTATTGTTATCTAACAGTATAAACGATTGGCCTAATCATAGGGCCACGGTTGTTTTAACATTTTATCTAAATTAGCCGAAACAGGTAACGTTATGTACCTACACAGTGCAAAATATGTGAAATTAATGTATAAATTAATACCTTATGTATATACTGCAAAACAAATACTAGTAATTTAATTTGGGTATAATCATTGCCACTCTTCAGGGGTGCAACGTCATACAGCATGATCTGTGTAGTGTATGTAAATAAGTACAGTACTCATACAAAGGTTGTACGAGTATCTCGTGAAATGGATAATGGCCTATGGCTATTGTGCCGTAGCAACGGTATTGTTGTTCTCCGTTATTGTTGCCATGTCTAGTGTTTACTGTTTAGTTGGTTGTTTGCTGCTGTCCCGAGCGGACATAATAAAAGATTATGCCGTTCGTTCAATACTTGACAATCTTTTCATTCGTTTCTGAATTATTAGTCTACAGGAGAGTGGCAATCGTACAAATTTTAATTTGGAATTTAATACTGCTTATAATTCTGGACACTGTAATACCCTGTTGTGTAACTTTCATATTAACAATGTTTGGAAACAATCACGTCAGTTTTGCTTCTGGTTTGACAGATGCCTAATTACGTGGTGGCTGACGTTAACTTATTGAAACAATACAGTAATTGTCATAAGCTAAGCCACCAAATTAGCGTGCGGAGAAACTTAGCCTAGTAGAATGCTAATGTTGAGAGTGGCATTTGTCGTTGAGCTGGACTTAATTAAACAAAAAAAGCCCTATTCTCAGCCGTGAACCGCGATTGTCTTTTAAATGAGCATTTTTATTCTTTTGTATTGTATCTGTGGTACTTTGCGCAAAGGGCAAATTGCAAGTGACCTTTTAAAATTTTATATCCGGGAGCGTTATTCCTAGCAAGCTTTTAGCTGAGCGCTAGCGTAATTTGCTCCATAGTGCAACCACTACACTTTCACGTAGTTCTAACAGGGGATGAACGGCTAGTTCACCCCTGTGCGCGAACAGAAACGGAAACTGAACGCCATCACACTGCACAGTGCACACTTTATCTCTCTCTCATACAACACATCAAAGGCCACCGCAGCACCTTGCTGCGGGGCAAAAAGGAAAAAGCATCCAGCTCAGACGACGAAATCTAGCAACTAAAGAATCTACCAGATTTAGAATCTGGTAGATGAAGAAAAACACGGCAAAAACAGCAAAACAACCTAGCAGCCGCCTGTACGCGGGTGAACGGAGAGGCCACCCCTCCTCACATAGTTTTCAATTCGATAAATTTTACAAGATGCGCCCGTGCGTTACAATGCCTGTTGCAAATATTGGCTTACTTTAAACAGTTCTCTACAGAACGAATAGCAGGTACAGGTACTACCGCAGATGAGTATAAAAATCGGTGTTGACTTGTGGAAGGATGCTAAATTAACTGCAGTAGTTTGAGGCTATTCCCGGAAACAAAAGATACTTCGATTCGTGGGCGATGACGACATAGACACGACAGATGTTGTCATATTTTTGATGCAAAGAAATTACATTTATTGCTTGCGGCCATTTGCAACCACGAGAGGTTACCTCATTAATTTATTTAGATTTGCAGCGAAGGATAACAACTATCGTGAATTCCGGTTACATTTTCATAGCCATTGCCTGCGGTTATGTGCAACAGGTTGTACATCATACAGTGCATAATTATGTATACATGTCAGATGTGTACGCCGTGACGGTATGGACATACAAGTCATAATAATAATTTGACCGTACATAATATAGGGTTATTGCTGACAAGCAGTACCGCTTGCACGGACAAACAAGCAACTAACATTGGAATTAAAAAAAAGAGTAGTGAGGACAGCAAAGCAAGAAAAATTTCATCAGCAATCCAGTCGTAAATTTTTATATTTCATGTTATTAATCTTTGGCACACAAAAGTTGTCTACATTTGACAGCTCGAGCATTTGACAGCTTCTTTAGAAATACTAATTTTTTCTATGGATAGAAAACCTTGCTCACTGTTCCGTGTCTTAGTAGTCTTCGTACTTCATTTGGACATCGTTGCGGCAGTATCCGATGAAAGCGGTAACGTTGAGGTAACAGCAGGTAAAAGGTTGCCCTCAAAATTAATATATTTACATTCAGTTTGTTTTCTGAAAAAGTTTACCTAGAAAAGGTTTCTTTTTAGATTTATTCTATCAGCCGGGCGACTTTTCCGACGTCAGTGCCGAGACGGAAACAGGCTCCACACTTTGGCCAAATCACACAGCGATTCCTTATTATATCAGCAGCGATTTTAGTGAGGAAAACGACTGATTTTTTGCGAACCGACGGCCGTTTGTTATACATAGTTGTTATGACCAGTTTGTTAGTACTTTAAAAAAAGCTTCAAACATTTACAACTATTTTTTCGAATTTCGAAAAGTTTCTTGCCAGTGCTAAACTTGATATAAAGACAATCCGCTTACTAATCCTGCATGTTTAAGCAGTTGTGAAATACTGTACGTATGTAGCCGGCAAAATTGTACCGTAATTAACCTGTTCCCGGTTCACGGTGAGAGCATATTTGACGGGCGAAAATGCTTACATCGCCCGTCAATATGCTCACACCGTTAAACCTTGAACACGTGAACAATCTTGCACGCAACATACGTGTACTTAAGCAATTTTCCAAATAATAAATTTATGTTACAGGTACAAAAGAAAGGCAAGTGATTCTTAAGGCTCTGCGTATCATGGAGAAAAAGACAGAAGGATGTGTACTGTTCAAGGCTAGAAGCGATGAAAGTGATTACATTTACTTCCTCGGGAACTTTCGGGGCATGTGAGTACACGTGATACAGCATGTACTTCCTTGTGAAAATTTAAATCGCTACATTTCCTTTGCTCCATCAGATGCGACTCGAAGATCGGTAGAATTGGTGGGATGCAATATATTCATCTGGCCCGCGCCGGACTTGTTTCCTCATCATCATGTATGGAGACGGGAAGAATTCAGCACGAGGTCATGCACGCCTTGGGCTTCTATCACGAGCAACAGCGCACAGACCGCGATCAGTATGTCTACATACGCAAGGACAACATTGCATCAGATGAGCTATATGAGAACTTCGCATTCACCACATCAGCGTTCATTTTCGGAACAAAATACGACTACCATTCCGTCCTGCAGTATGATGCCTTTGCGTTTGCCTCATCTAACAAGATTCCGGCGCTGGTCCCAAAAAGAGGGCTTATTAATCGCATGGGTCAACAAATGGGCATGAGCCCGAGCGATGTCGCGAGGATAGCCTTACTCTACAAATGTCCATTAACCGTTATTCTGGACACCAAAGCGGCTCCTAAAAACGCGGATTTTCCAAATTTCTCTCTTGAACCGATGACGGACGATCAGTGTCAGCTGCAGTTTAACGATTATTGTACGTCGGACATAACCACTCAGTGGAATTGCACGAATCGAAGGGATTTACGTGTTCTTTGCCAGTCTGATGCAGAGTTGCCTATTTTGGAAAGTATGGCGGCCGGTATGGCACAGGAACCTTTGCGACTGGCATCCTTGGATGTAGAAGAACAATTAATCGCCCGATATTCCTTTTCTCCGATTCGGAACCAAATCCTGAGGCTGCAGCTACGCAACTGCATCACGGACCGCGTGACATTAAGACTGGAGAAGTTAAATTTTGTTAATTTGTTGCACTTTGAACTCCACCACTGCCATGGCCTGATTATCCAAAAGGCTGATTTTGCGATATCCCAACGGCTGCGAATAATAACCTTTTATAATACCACCGTTAACGTTCTCCAGCCAGGCTCGTTTACAGATTTGCCAGAACTGCGGATTCTTTCTTTGGAAGCGCTACCGGACAGCCAGAAAAATCACAATTTTGAACCATCCTTTCGAGATTATCTACACCGTCTGCACTGCAGCTGTGAATTCGCCTGGTATCGTTCATGGTGGAGATCCAATCCAGCGTTGCGCCTCAGAGTTCAGACAGGAGAATTGTATTCCTTCGAGGGGCCTTTTATCGGCACTTTCTTTAATAGTGATGAGTTTAACAAAGAAGATGTGTTCCATCCCATCAACTGCAATGCAGATCCGTTTCCTCTCAGCACAGAATGGATAAGCTATTACTGGCAACTTGATTACTCTGTCAACGACCCCCTTTGCAACCAAGCACCCACTGCCACAACTTCTGCACCGAGGCTATCAACTTTGATAGTGAATCCCACCACAACGGCAACCGCCCTGACATCCACTGAATCAACGGTTGTCTCGACGACTTTGCCGTGGAATGTTACTATTAGGCCTCTTGCACTGTCGCGAAATAAATTAAGCCCAGGGACCATAACAGGTACCTCGGCAGGCGTAATTTTGGGCGCTGCTGTTCTGATCGCTGCTATTATGGCGGTTATTAAGGACGAGCGATGTAGAAGTTGGTGGACGTCCTTTCGAAATGATGGATCAATATGGGGGCGATCTAGGAATGGAGGACCGAGTGAAGACTACAGCGTCGCTTTTGCTAACGAATAAGTTCTTAAAAGTAATGGAATATAGAAGGGCTTTATGGCTATGTGCTCCAGTTTTCACGCGATAACGGTAATAAAAAAATTCTGACAATGGGCTCAGGTGCGTGACTTGGTTCAAATGCACTGGCTGTTGTTTCTTTCAATTTTTAAAAAGTTGCAGTTTTCAGCCTGACGGGTCGAATCAAATCAAAACTACCGTTTCACTTATAACGTTAAGTCGTTAAATTCCACAGTAAAACTGCAGTGCTGTTCAATCCTGCAAAATGCCATATGAAATGGCCGGCGGTCAGCGGCGCATTTATGTACAGTTAACAACAAAGCAAGTCTTGATTTTGCCGAGTTTATTCCTATTTTAAAATTATTTTCACACATAATTATACGCAGTCATGCATTCTGAGGCATGTCACAAGTATCGTACTGGCCAATTCTGAAAAGGGCGCTACACAACAATGAATGACATTCATCAGCCTCACCGGCAATAATGCAGGTGAAGACTACTAGTTAACTTCCAAAGTTCGCTTGAACCCCAGCAGGATATAAGAGCAGTTAATTTAATTGTTGACTGATCTTGAAGGCCGAAGATATCTCGATTGGTGGCGATGATGACAACTGTCGTCATTTCCGGATATGAAAAATCATAGGTACTGCCGCGGGTTATTTGAAACTGCGCGTACTGTATTTGTTGCATGGCTGGGTAATAAAACATGTTGTATACACGGCAGCAATGAAAACGTTCCAGCATTTTACACGGTATGATAGTGAAAACCAGTTTCTGTTTTAGCAATAAATGGAATACAGTCGTGTTCATACGTATTCTAAAGCGTGATACTACCAACAACAGTGGTATTACTGTAAAGCAATCGTCGAAGCGCTACTGGGTAGCAATGCCATGCTTTGTGACGTCAAGTCATGTTTCATATATTATGCAGTTATCGGAAGTTGATTAATGTGTGTGACACACGGTATGATCATGCACTGGACACGCCATGTTTATAAGTTGCGAATACTGTACATGGTCACATGGATGCTAATACAACAGTGAAAATACAATGCCTGTAAACTACGTAGAACTTTCATAGTACTTTATTTGCAAGCAAACTGAGCATTTTATGAAACAGTATACAACTTTACCAAAAGAAAAGAAAAACAATCCAAATAGTTCTGTAAACTTCCAAACCCATGTTGATAAGCTTCACTTTTCGATTCAGAGTACTATATTAATGGCCCGAAGCCCAAATAATGCCTTGACCTTTGCTGCAGACTGGCCTCAACGCCCTGACCAGCTGAACCGCGCCGAACCATGTCTTTGAACAATAACAGCACGACGCTTCCCGACGCGCGACCTCTACGCTGCGGCACCGTCGACTCGGAGGAGCGCGTCGTCCACCATCTGTTCTTCATCTACAGATACAGAGTACTTAATCATGGGTCCGGTTTTCCTCTTGCTGTTTCTTTGTGCTTAATTTATGTGTACTTATGTTGCCAATTACTCGTAAAGTTGTGTACAGTTTCAGCTGTTACAGTTTTTTTGTGATAAATCACAACATATTACGGCAGCTGGTCAAAGAAGCGAAAACAACAATTGTTTTAATCCATGCATACAGGCATCATGAAACCAACAAGCAGAGCAACTGTTTGCAAAAACAATTTCTTTCAAGGGTTAGCAGCATAGCACACAGATTTTTGGTAAATAAAAATCTTTCGCAAGGTAATGGAAACACAAGGAATATTAAAGACCGTAATATCCAACATTAACCGTGGCAATGTCAAGTATACAGAACAGATGTAATAAAACAAATTTTTATAAATTCTTTACTCTATCGTTTTCTTATACCTATTGTTCAATGCCGGTTTTACTCCTGACTCTCATGTATTCACTATGGAATTCGTAGTTCTAATGAAGGTAGCGGATCCAGTCGGTGTTTTGATCGGTGCCGCAGCCGGTTTAGAATCTGTTGCAGGCTTTCCTATGGAGCCAGTAGAACTGCTCTGTCCGACTTTGCAGTTTGGTTCATTAATGGAATACTCAGTTTGAGCGTAATAGTTAATCCACGCAGGACCCAAAGGAAAGGGCTCGTCTTGGCAGTTCACGGGATGATACAGATCATCTTTAGTAAACATGTTGCTACTAAAAAGCGTGCCAGTGGAAGGTCCGGCAAACGAATACAACTCACCCGCCTCAACGCTCAGCCGCAACCGTTTATTCCTTCGCCACCATGATCGATACCATGCAAAGTCACAGCCACAGTGAAGATTACGCAGAAAATTTTTAAACGGCTGCCCAAATTTGTAGTTCTTTTGTCCTTCCAAAAGAGCCTCCAGAGATAGTATCTGAAGTTCAGCTAAATCCGTGAAAGTTTCGGGCTCCAGCAAACCAAGGGTGGTGTTGTAGAACACTATAATTCTAATCTGTCTGGAAGAAGCGAAGTCCGTCTTTTCTATAACCAACTTGCGGCAATGGTAAAGTTCGAAATGGAGCAAATTTGTAAACCCCATTTTATTCAGCCTGCTGGTTGCGTTTTTCGTGATGCAATTTTGGAGTTGCAGGTGCAGTATTTGACGTTGTATTGGCAGAAACGAATACTTTGTAATTAATTGCTCTTCCACATATATGGAGATCAGTCGCAGCGGTTTCTCTGCCATATCCAACGCCATCCGCTCTAGCACAGCCACCGATGCAATCGACTGGCAAACAATACGGAAATCCCGGCGGCTTGTGCAGTTCGTTATTGTGGTGATATCTGATTGGCAGTAGCGGTTGAATTGCGCCGCACACTGGTCCAGGTCCATCGGTTCCCGTGAGAAATTCGGAAAATCCTCATCGAACTCTCGGTTGCCGGCAACGATATTCAGCGGGCATTGGTAAGCCAGCGTGATCTTAGCCACATCTCCCGGGCTCATGCGCGCTTTCTGACCCATACGAACAATTAGTCCATGTTTCGGTATCATAGCGGGGCTTTGCTTGTTACTAGCCCCGCTAAATGCATCGTAGTGTACAATGGAATGGTAGTCGTATTTTGTTCCAAAGGTGTACATTGTTGCATCGATCGGGTAGTCCTCTGCGCCGTAATTATCCATGTCTATATTGCTGAAGCGCACGTTCACATACTGATCTCGGTCAGGGCGCTGATGCTCGTGATGAAAGCCCAGGGTGTGCATGACCTCGTGCTGGATGCTTCTGGTATCGACACATGAAGATGACCGCCACGTTGCTCGTGCCAGTATTATGTACTGCTTCCCTCCTATCTTTCCGACTTTGGAAGCGCACCTGTAATGAAGTTCACAGTCAGTCTGGGCCCTAACAAAATGGCATACACCACGATCTACGAACTTACGTTCCTTCCCAGACATCTGTTATGAAATAGATGCAGTCAATCTCGTCTACGCGTGGTGTGAATAAAATGCATCCTCTCGTTTTTCTCTCCATGATGCGCAGTGCTCTCAGAATTGTTTGCTTTTCGGCTGGTTCTAAGACACAGTTAGCTACATAAAAACTGGCAACTTCAATGGAAGACATAAAAACAAAACTGCCCGTGTCGTTAAGCAGTATAATATGTTGAATAAGCTAACCGGGTTGTCACCGGTGAGTGTACACTCGCATTTTTCAGCTTTGTTGGTCCATATTTCATAATTACAGACGACGATAACTTTTTTTTTGAAATACAAATCAATTAAGTAGCAAGAAGAAGAATTTAACGTTGTGTTCTTCAAACTCGTTTGAATGCTGGTGCACTCACCAAAATCACTGTCGATAACGTAAGGGATGGCTGTGCGGTTTGGCCACAGCGTAGGGCCAGTTTTCGCAATGACATTTGCGTCAAAAAAGTTTATCGGCTCGTTGAAAAGGTCTGTGAATGAAATCGGCTAGATGAAAGCAGTGAATATGATTATGAATGGCGCGTTCTGGAGTATGCGCTTGGCAGTCTGCATATATATTGGGAACAAATCAGCGACATTCGTGAAATCATTATCAACCCATTTGCATATCTGAAAATATGAGTAGGAAGCAACTATGAACAGCGCTGTAATTATAAGTGCACCACTTAATTTCTGCAACAATTACATAATGTCCGCACAAATTTTCGCGCCTGCCGGTTTAGACTCTCGCCATTGCACCTCAGAGCAGCCTTACCAGCCGTTATGACAATTTCATCATTTTCGTCCACCACTGCTGCTGCACTGTGAAGCAGTACGAGAACTATTAGAACGCAGTGGAAAATGCAATACTTCCGTCCCATTCTTTGGTAAGCTGGGGTATTTTTAGTATGTCCTTGTTGGTTGTTCGGAAACCGGAAAATCGAAATGTGAATTAAACAAATATGGTACGCTTCTTTAGTGTGATTACTGTCTTCATTTACGAACTGCTGCTTCGAACTTTATTGGTCAAATCATGCTGCTTTGATCCTGTACATCTGTACAGACTGTTCTTTGCACAATAAAACAGTAATAAAAACGTCTTGCATTTTTATTATACGGAAACGTGTATTACCTATCTTTCGTGTATCACCTATCATTGGTTCTCAACTTCTCAATCTGTTGCAAAATTGATGGGATTTTTTGCAGACAACTGTCAAAATATGACTCACAACAATTATTTTTATTTAGGAATTGACGTTTCTTGCTAACAATAAATAAATGAACCAGAGCCGGAGCTCCGAATCACGACGGCAATATACTGTACATAGCTTGCGGGCAGTGAACTGCAAAGACCACGACGTAATCATGCGGTAGACATGCAATATTTTAGAATTTTGCGCGAAAGATACAGCCACGTGAAAGGATACTATTGTTCGTACAAGGCCTGTTTCATAAACTTTGTTTCTGTTTATTGGAAAAAAATGCTTGACACTTTTCTAACGGGAAAGGAGGATCCCAAGTAAGAACTCTGCGCTTATTTTTGATGAAGCAAATTCGTTTTCTTGGCGCCACCAGTGAAAGCATTTTAATCAAAATTTACGCAGATTCTAAAATAATGTTCGAGTACTATGCATACCGGTACCTCGGATATAATGTACAGATATCTAAAACTTCCTTTTTAAAAACACCACAGTAACAGTTTTCCAGACAGCAATGCGTTGATGGTCATTTATTTTCTCTACCTCAAGGACTGTTTGAAACGGTTAATTAGAGTATACGGTTTTCATGGCGGCAAACGCAACGGTAAAGGTAAGCTGAAAAAACCCGTCGAAAACGATAAAACAGACGGCAAAGCAAAGTTAGCGGTTAGCGTACCCTTTTAGGGCATTCATCACGATTAGAAAATAACAGGTGCGTTAAAAGAAAGGATGGGCACATGCATGTTACTTCGTTATTTGTGTCAAGGTACTTCACAATACAGTATGTATCTGTAGCGTTTCATCAGCTGCAGTGTATTGTAAGACTGTAAATCCCGTAGTTAACGATTTGCTGGCTCGGAATTGTAATTTCTTTTGGCTGTCAGCCAGCGCCTCCTGGAAAAGTATCTGCAGATGCGGGAAGTTCGTGAAAGTAAGTACCGGTTTGCGTCGTTATTATTGCTGATCACTGTCCGGCTTGCGCATGCGAGCGGCTGGGCCGATTCGAGCGCGGTTAACTGCGCTAAAATCGTCGGAGCAATGCCGTTGTTTGTGCGCTTGTTTCGCTTTTTTTGCGCCTCAGAGGAATACGAAGAATCTAAAAAAACGGATTGTCGCTATGGGCTTCTATAGACATACATGGACTAATGCTTTCTGCGTTTGAAAACCGAGACACACCGCGGCCTTCGGCATCGGTCTGCTACAAATTACAGAAAAATTCCGAAAAATACGGCACAGTTAATCTGAATCGAGCCGACCGCCGTGACTGAACTTTCTTAGATTTCTCAGATTTCTTAGGTTTATTGGGTTTCTTGGGTTTCTCAGACTTCTTAGGTTTCTTAGTATCTTAGGTTTCTTACAATTCTTACGCTCATAAAATTCTTAGGATTTATGAGATTTGCATATTTTTTTAAATTAACAAGTTCGAGACCTCTTCGAAACCAGTGTACGTACACCGCGACAATATGTGCGGATGTAGATCTACGTCAACGGGTAATAATATTTTCTTTTATGCTTATTTGTGGATATTTGGTCCTCACCGAAGTCTTCTTTTATTTCGTAAAGGATGGCTGTGCGGTTTGTCCACAACGTACGTCCATTTCCCACAACGTGCGAGAAGTTGTCAGGTGCTTATAATATACTTCTAGCTGCCTACAAAAACGTAAACTGATACCAATTAAGTCATTTTCGGTCCACTTGTAAATGGAGCATCCTGTATAAGAACGATTTCTGTTTGAAAACACAACTGGCGTCCTTTTACTACATTTTACTTTGCTGTTCAAAAAAAGGACAGTCTGTCCACTATTACAAAATCAATGAATGTTTTAAAAGAGAGCAAATTTTTATTCTTTCGCTCTGTACAATTTAACACTCGCCTGACGTTATTACTATGTCGTATGTCCCCGTTTTCGTCCGACACTGCGGTTTGTGGCGTCAGATTACAATACAAGAGCCATAAAGTTTGACTGTGAATAACAGTATACCACAGCCATGGCAACCGTTTCAAGCTGCGTACTAAAAGGTCACTAAAAGGTTAATGTAGCCTAAAACAAAAAAGTGTGTTCAGAAAATTATGGGGAGCACTAGCATAACGGGGCGCTCGATGATTTTAACTTAATAATTATGTACATATATACAAAGCATTATCTTTAAAATGCACATCCACGTAGCCAGACGCCGGGCGCCGTTGATTATCACTGCTAAGGTCAACCAACGCCAACGATGGTGGACACTTTACGACAATTGTGATCATTGTAACTTTGTCAGGTATTGGTAGGGCACTTGATTGAAGCAACCTACAGGTTTTATTCACTTATAATGGGGTATTCCTGTGGTCAACTGATGGAAAATGGAGAAAACAGAAATCAGTACTACCGTATTATACTTGGCAGAAAATAAATTAATCATGAAGCTGCAATCCAATGGAGATATTTTTCTTTTTTATACAAATTACATAAAGAAGGTCATGGATTGTGTCAGTATTTTACATCCTTTAAATGACTTTATATTCTGGTAACATTTTGCCATAAGCTGAGCGCCGTTGTCGGATTCAAAGCGCCATTTCTAAACGCGTTTGTTGCGATTTTATCCGCGGCAAGCAATAATTTCAGTAGTTACCGGCTGTTTCCATTCTGCATAATAGGATACTACGCTGTATGCAAATTCCCCATCCGCCCGTGTTGCTGCATACTGAAAATGCTATTAACGAAAATCAAGGTCGCATGGTCACGTCCCATTGATCCCGGCCTTGTCCTAATGGCTGATTTAAAAGCCAAATTTGGTCAAGCTGTTACCAGTTCGCTTTTGCATCAGCTTGACTTTAGACCGGATTTTCAGCTTAAAGTCGCTCTATTTCCAAGAGAAGTCTTCACACATATACAGTAGTGCTGGTAATTTGCTACACATTGATACATAGCGTTTATTCTGGTGGCCGTTTTACTTGCCTAATACAATTCCTGATATGTAGAAATTAAATCCTGTAGTTTTGGGTCTAGTTGTTTTGTATCATGTAAATACTTTTTAATAAGGGCAATATCTGACCAATACCAGTTCCCATATTATAGGTATTATAAAATCACTGAAGCTGTATTATACAAATATTTGTAATGCAATATCGCTCCTTCATATGCGCTACGGCAATATATGTGACAAATTGCAATCGGTCTCATAATAAAAAAATACAAGTCCGTATTATTCACAATTCAGCGAAGGAAGTAAAAAAAATGCCAATTTTGTCAGAGCCTGAGCAACTACCGTTTCTTATTTACGAGATCTAGATGCTAGATGTTTCACAGATGTGAATCTTATCGCTTTTGTATTGACTGTACACAAAATGCCCACCCGGGAAACACAATAAAGTCAATTAAGGCCGCTTGGAGAAAATTATTTAACAAGTACTCCGACTATCACGCGCGGGGACAAAACAACCCAACACCGATCGATCCGCCCCGCCTCTAAGCAGCAGTCAAATTATGCAAATGTAATTTCATATTTACTCCATCACATCCTGATTCCGTTCTATATACCCGGCCTCCCTGCGTTGATCCCCGCTTTTCTGGCGCAGAAAAAAGGAACAACACCAGGATAGACGGAAACTGGCTTAAATGTGTTCAGGTCCAATTGAGCAGACACGAGGATTGCCCAGGGAATGCGCAGAGTGTGCAGTGTCTTTAGGGATGCATTTACTTGTGAAAAGATGTATAGTGTCCTAATAACGGGGCTCTATACTCACAGCTTGTCTAAAAATACAGTGCCCTGTGTCTTGGATTTTTTGACAAGATACTGGCGTACATATACGCGTAGCATCTGATCTGACATTCGATATTGATTGGCCACAGATACGCTTTAAGCACTGGCTGCGAAGAGAGACAGCGACGCGATGGAGGAGGAAAACGTTTAGTCGATTGCTTTTCATGTCCAATTCACCGGGGAAATGTTCCAGATGGACACTGTATATATCCAGTGTCCGCGTTCTCCGGGAAACGGCGCATCTGACATCAGCAGGCGCAAAGGTCACGCTACCGGTTTATGACAGACGGAGGTTATGTGCCGCGGCTGTGTAAGCGACACGCTTCATCGCTTGTACAGAGAGCCGGTTACGCATCTGCAGTTTCCGTCAGAGAAATCAATCCAACTTTTGCTTAAGTACAAGACCTTTTTTATGCCGAACGGGGAAACTGGCGCGTGCGCTGAGAAATAGCTGTCAGAATTAGTTTATTCGGACGGTGGCGAAATAGGTCGCTGTATCGTATTTCTTCTTCGAAATTGTAGCTGGAATATTATGAATGGTTAAAAATTTTGTTTTGCCTTTAAACTGTACCAAAAAAATTTGCTATTTGCACAGCCAGCTGTATCATAATTTTTTACTAAAAATTGTGTAGCTTATTAAACAAATGTGAATAAATTTAAATAGATTATTAATCGTACAATAAACAAAACAATTAAAAAAACTTAAACAAAGTTTTTTTTAAAAAATCAATTTTTTATGACTTTTTTGCATCGATTTTATTGGTGTCGTCATCAGTTTATGTACTTGATTTATTTATTAACCGCGTGTCAGGCATTTAATTTCTGTGTTGGTGAAATTCCATCCCGTTTATTCGGTTGCTCACCCAGCAGGATACAGCGCACTGTATCAGTTTTCCCCTCCGAGCTGGCCCGATCAGTTCGGCGCGCGATGCGTATCAACAATTACACCGCGCCACTTCCGGTGCATAATTTTACCCGGGGATTACGCAAGCATTTACCCAGCATAGTTAACACCGTTTAACCCGGCGCGCGCGCAGGCCGCCCCACCCGCCCGCATTGATCTTCTTGGCGCGCGCACTTTTCTCCCTATTTTTAAAACAGTCACATATCTACGCGGATTAGCGGAGGGGATTTTCGCACGTACTTCTGGCCGTGGCCACACTCTGATAGACAAGAGAGCCTGTTAATTCAGCCGGAAGATGTTGCGCTGGCGCGCTCTGACTTTTCACATTTAGCTCCGCTGACTTTGAAGGGCAGCGTGCGGGCGCGTTAAGCGGCGGATTAGCGGGACATAATTATATCGGTATCAACTGCGTCGAAACGTTACTTTTAATTGACGGAGAAGGGATCCGTCGCGGTATTTTAAACAATTTACGTCCTTGGCGGTCTTTCCACGAAAGGCAAAACAACATGACCTTTAAATACTTTCACAATTATTGCTTTGATGTGAGAAACAAACCACAAACAGTTGATGACCTTTCAGCAAAACTTAGCGTGAACACTTTTAAAAAATTATTTTAAACGGCAAAAATGTAATCACCTTCATTCTGGAATAAAATTATATTTATTTTTCAGAAACTGCAAAACCTTAAAGTTAAAAAAAAATTACAGAAAAAATAAAATAAAAGTACAGAAATTGCTAGGAAGTTAAATTTAATTAACTTTATAAGCAGAGGATCTCAGGTTTTTAAGCTTTGTTTTACAAATCGTATTACTGTGTACATTTATTTTTATACAAGATTTTTTACTGTAAAAGAGAGCGAATAATTTGATTAAAAGAAATTCACTGCTTGCTGATTATGTCTATATATCCATCCGCAAAAGGAACTGCAGACTGCAGAGTGGCACAACATCCCCAATCTCCGATGGCCTGACATGCCATACATCCGGCCGGCGTGCCACGGCGACGTCGATCGGAGGCCGGTGAAAGAATGCGGAAAGACACGTCCATATTCTGTTGTACACATTTATATACCTTCCCCTTCCACGTCCGTCGCCAAGAAGGAGAAAGGAAAAAAGAGTAATAAACACTTAGCCACACTCATCCTTATCAACATTGACATTGAAACACGCCAACCCGATGCACACACCCGAGAGATGCCGGTACAGGCGATCAGTCAGTCACGGAAAGACGTTCTGTGTTGTGTTCCCGTGGATAAAAATACACAAACGTCACACCACACATGTATATTCAACGCAGATCACTCGTACATTGCATACAACAACAGGCACAGTAAAATAGTACGCATGTGCTCGTCCTGTCGTCGCTGTGCACGGGCTGCCATTCAGCATTTACGTCGGTTGTGTGAGTGATCGCGCGGAGCGCGGGATATGTTTGTGGGGGTTTTTATTCGACTTTTGTCTGCTAGGCGCACACACAGCACCGGATGTTCACCGTCATAACTGCAATATCCGTCTGGTGCGGATTTTTCAGCAAATTTTATTAATGTGTCTCGCTATCGATCTTCGCTTCCCGGCATTCTGGAATATTATTGCATTTGCGAAATTATTGTACGGAGAAATCGTATCCCGTGATTTCCTGATTACAATTATCCGGATTGTTTCATGACTTCCGCTGCAATTTATACTGTTTTCCTCATTCTTCTGCGCCCTCTTTACCGTGACCTTTTGTCGATCAGTTTATCTTTATTGCGTTGTTATTTAAAACCGGCATTTTCACGCCAGTTTTACATGATAATAATCTTGGTGACCTTTACGTTAGCGTTATTAAGAGAACATATATTAAACTGTTATTAAAACTTCTTAACGGTTCAAAAGCTAATCAAAATCGGTGGAAATTTTGTACTTTCTGTGGCAGAAAGACATTAAACTTATTTTTTTTAATTACTTGGATGCGATGAATGTGGGAATATGTTGTATGTAAGCGATGATTACATGCAGTCAATTATGCGTAATACCGTTTCTGTTTTTGATTGAGTGCTGATCGCGGCAGCGCAGAGATCCCGGCGACTCCCGGCTCAGTTAAAACAGCTGTATACCATTAGTTAATTTCATTTTCATCGCCCGGCTATAATTAACACTGGAAGCCAATCGACGCTGACAGTTCCCCATCGGAGCGGCGAAAGATCACGCGTGTGGATTATATCCACTGCCAGCCACCGAATCCGTACTGCTCATCTTTCAGCAGTGCTCTTGCGCTTTTCCACTTTTACCTCACCTTCCATTACAATCGGCCATTTTTTGCCCATTTTTTCCCTTGAGGAATTTTGTTTTCTTTCGGAATTCCCAACGGTCAACAAACCGAATATTTTGAGTGGAGGATATTTATTCGGGGCGCAGACGGGGTGTTGTTTGGCTCGCATGTGTGTACCACATTCCGTGTGCGGGGATGGTCATGTTCTAAATACTTTTGATCCCTGTATTCTCACCACGAGGAATGCGGTGAGCGGATTCGGAAATATGAGCAATTTGTCATCGTGGAATACGGTAAACTTCCCATTATTATCAATATGGAAAAACATTGAAAAGATGACACTTAGTTTTAAATCTTGAACTTCCAGAAATAAAAAAAATTGATTTCGTTTTTACTAAAATGTTTTCCTTGAATTTACCGCTGAATGCACTGCAACTTCTCAAGTTTTTTTGTATTATATGTAGAGTAATATAGTTGCTAAATTTACCAAAGTATTTTTTAGAGAAAAAAACCGTAGCAGAAAGGTATCTAAAAAAGGTAGTTTGTTATAAATCGATAAAGGTATACTGTATCGATCTAAAAAAAGCCATCTTCTTTTTAGTAAAGTCTGATGATTTGCTTCATAGTAAACAATCAAAATTATGCCGTCTGCCGTTTTCCCACTGTTTTTCTGCTTTTTAATTGATTGTTTGCTTTATCGATGTGTTGTTAAATAAAGCGTGTTTGATCGTACAACTTCAAAGTGATATTCCGGCTTCACTGTGTAAATGATCGCCTAAATTTTAATAGTTATAAGCGTTAGTGCAATAACATTCTAAAACTAATTTATTCGTGGAAAACCTGCTTTTCCACATAAAACCTGACATTCAAATAAAAAAAATGTTAACAATTATCGATGATGAAATATGATAATGAGCGTTGTAAGAGTGCTATTAGCCTATTTTGCAATAGCAGCGGATTACCGCATCGGCATTTGTCAGCGCCCCGGCGCACAGTCTCGTATATAATGTGAAATATGCCCGTGTTGCCGGTGTTGCGCCACAGAAATGTGTCCCGCGCGGGATTGTCCGCGCAGCGCGGCGACAGTTGCCGCGCTACAAACGATATCATTAATAATTTCATTAAGACGCCGTTTCGTGGCAGGAACTCATTTTCTGGAGCGTGACGCTACATCTGTCGCCGGTATTAATCTCCCATATATACACCAGCCGACAAACTGCGAGCTGACGGCTGTCTAATTACCATCTTGCTCCGATTATCGAATTCGTTTCTCAGCTTGCCGTATTTTTCAATTAAAACGGTATAAAAATTTAGTTTATAAACTGAAATAAAAAAGTACCAGATATCCGTACGGAGTTTAGTTAAACAAAACCAGTAATGCATAAGTCTGAATGGTATAATTACTCGATCAAAACTGCGATTTAAAATAATTTTAATTTAAATTACTTAACCTGCGCACTCAGCAGCATAAGTATTTTCCCCTTTTTTGTGATTGATTGCACAACACTTGGTCGCTTTTTCTAACACGTGGCTTTATTTGCGTTTTTCTATTCAAATTTCGTAAGTCGTTAAATAAGAAGTCATAAAATGTTAACAGGATTTCCGATTGAAATAATGAAATTTTCTCTAATCCGCACTTTCCCAACTGACAATATACCGTAAAATCGTTTGCCGGTATTAGTGGAGCTAATGAACACTTGGGAGAGGGAATCTTCTTCACTAACGATCAAACGCATTTCAAGCTGTGTCGGAAGTAAATGGTCAATATTTAGGCAATTGATTGACCCAGTGGCTGCTGTTACTCGATCGTAATGCGTTTAAATCGGCAAAACATTGCCGTTTTCCCGGTCTAACAGGCGATACTACAGCATGGACTGCCATAAAAAAACGGCGTTCAAATACTTTCGTTTAACTATTTGTGCGCGGTTAAACTTACTGCTCGATTTAAGGAATGTACAAGAAGCAATTCTATCATGTTTTACCAGCTAACATATTACGCCAGAGAGCCCGAGTAAGTAAAAAGTAAACTATTTTCAGAATATAGCCCAAATATCGCGGCTAAAATGCATTTTTGTATTATACGATAAGTAAGCAGAGAAAAGAAGGAGCCCATCAAAAAACAGAAAATATTGGAAAATCGTAGAGTAGTGGTTACCGCGTGCCAGTCATACTCTCGAACGCTAACTCGAATGTCCCAGAATAATATTAAATCAAATAAAATCAGGAACCTGCTAAATCTGTTAATTTTTAGGACGTAGTTATAATTTCATCGTGTTTTAAATAATTTTAAAAACCAGACTTAGGTATTTTTAAACGTCTAAATAATATTGCGTCAGAAGAACAGCTGGCGCTTTTTGTCCAAGCTGCGAAATGTCTGCCTGAAATTCAAACGAAAATTTTGCTGAAGTCGGTGCAGTACTAGCTGTTGTATTATAAGTACACGCACAAAAATTGACCATTAAAAATACTCAGTTTGGCTCAGTTTACACTCGTTTACCATCTTGGCGCTAATGCCGGCCACTTGAAGACCATTTCACCCGTTATCCCTGATCGTTTGCTTGTGTAAACAATCAATATAATGAGCGCCATACGGGTCCGCCAATTACGGGCCCATTTACCGTGCTAACCAGCCGGTTAAAGCCGAAATCCCAATAAAACCGCGGGATGTGGGGTGTGCAGTGTGTGGGGCGTGTGTCTGTGTGTATGGCGGAAACGCCGGTCATAATGATTTGGGGTAATTTTCTCTGCTTTCCCGGCTGCACAATACCCCGCTCGCGACGTTTCTAGGCCAACTCAGCCTCATTTCCCTAACGTTACCTTGACTTCCGCCTGTCAGCGTCGCTGCAGGCCCAACGTATATACACCGCACGCCATAACGGATGTATATCCGCCGTATCCAGCCGACTGGAGAACAATTTTCCAGAGTGCTCCGCTTATGTAGATGCACTGTGTTGTCGCACTTAACGCCATGGTCCATCCATCATGGGCGTATGTATAAATGCACCGTTTTGCACTGATTTTGCGCTCGGTTAGGAGAGCATACGAGAGGCAGCCAAAGATGTGAAACGTAATGAAAATTGTGGAAATCGTAGTGCTGTGGCATTTTCCGGTGAATCTTTACGAATACTAACTGCTGGTATACTTACACTATCCAAGTGTCTAAATAAAGTTTAATTATTTTTTAAGTTGCGAAAATTTACAGCACATGGTAACAAACGCTGTTCAATCTACAAACATCAGCAAGAAAATTACACGTTTTAATTAGTGATTTTACAATATTGCCACGAATAAACGCGAAATCATCACTAAATTTTTAGACAAAAAAAATGCGTTAGTTGTTAAAGTAGCGGAACTACCGAAGTCTTGTTCATAAAATATTTTTTCATCAGAGTGCTAAATTTATGCACCCACGCTCGACTAATATCTTGACCTTTGCTACAGATCGTCCTCAGTGCCCTGACCATCTAAACCGCGCCTACCATGACGCCGACCAATAATAGCACGACACTTTTCGACGCGCGTCCCCTGCGCTGCGACACCGTTGAGTCCGATGAGCGCGCCATCCGCTACCTGTCCTCCATCTACCTGATCATGGGCCCGGTGTTCCTGGCACTATGCGCCCTAGCTTTCCTGGGCAACGCCCTGATCCTGTCCACGGTGTTCTTCATCCGCAAGAAACAGCTGACACCGACGCTGATGTTCAGTCTGTCCCTGGCGGCAGCGGATGCCGTGGCGGCAGCCGCCATGGGGGTGGGCATCCTGGTGAACAACATCCTCTTCTGGAACATCCACGTGGACATGGAGTACCGGGCGTGTATACAGTTCGTGGTGGAGGCGCTGCGGCTGAGCGGGATGGTGTGCTCGGCGCTGCATTTCATGGCGCTGGCCATTAATCACTGGATGGGCATCACGAAGCCGCTGCATTATGCATCGCGGATGACGCGGCAGAATGCGGCCATTTGCATTGCGGTGATGTGGATACTGCCGGTATGAGAATATATGATGCAGCAGAATAACTGAACGTGATTCGTAGTGCATGGGATGCTTTCGTCCTTAACAAAAGTACTTACGTCCTTCGCTAGTTTAACTAACCACATTGAGCGAAAGTTTGTCTGTTCTTTTAGCATTCATCTTTGTTGATATTTTACATTTTCTGAGTGCTCACTTTTCACTTTTTCGCCGTGCAGTCCCAAATAAAAACTCCGGCACAAAATAATTTAACACGTTTGAATAATGTATCAAGTTAGTAAAAAATGCGCATGTATCCCGAAGCTTAGCTTAGACTAAGTGCATAATTTATTAATCATTGTTGCCGTGACGTGCGCAAATCTCAGTGAATTATCTATTTATTGCCGTTATCCGGAGCGTAGGAATGTAAATAATATCCGAATGGTTTTGAAATATTAGTGAACAATGTAGTACGGTGGCGTTAATGACTTCCAGTCCTTTTGAAATTAGGTACCAACCGAGTGCGTAAAATCTGTAATACGTACATCGGTACATACATGAAACGTCAAAAAAATATCATAAAAAGATTTTATTTTTGGTCTTAGTTTTTATGTACGTACGCTTACAAGTGGATCTTTGGATTTTAAATACCTTGCAATTTTTCCTTTTTTAGCATTACGTGAATTTACTCATCATTATTAATGTTTCAAAACGTTATTCAATAGTCTTTGTCGTTAAGTTCTTAAACGCTCGGATTAGTTATATTTCGTGCTTTTTTGTTGCACTCATGTACGAAAAATTAAAAACATCATAACTGTGAAAAAAGAAATGCGAAAAATTACGAATATTAATGACCATGTGCATCTTTCCCAATTGCAGGATGTGATATTTTTCATATATTTCGTCTCGATTCCCGATGAGGGCTTCCGCTCCCCATACTGTCAAAGGGACGATTTTGCGCACAAATTCGCCTTCCGCTTCTTCGTGTCCGCACTGTTCTTCGCCCCGTTAATCCTGATGTCGGTGGTGTACTTCCATGTCTTCCTCGAGATCCATTTGCACCAGAAAAAATTGAGCACCCTGGACTGCAGCGCAGCCAACTACAACACCAACAACGTCAGCAGCAGCGGGGGCAGTGTGAGCGTCAGCGGCAGTATGAGCGTCACCGCCAGCCAGCTGGCCAGTACCGAGCGCAGCTATCGCGATGAGAAACGCCGCATGGCCAGTAATACACGGGCACTGATCACCACGCTGATTATCCTGTTCGTCTACCTGATTGGCTGGCTGCCGGCGGTGATTAATTACCTGCTGGTGTGCTATGACTGTGTTATTCCCCTGAGCATATCGCTTTGTATCAGGCTGCCGGTAAGGTCATCGCAATAAGACATTACCCCACGGGACCTAGACTTAATTTTAAGAACAGCAATAACAGAGTAGGTAAGAGTCAAGACTGAGTCATTTTAGGAAATAACAATACTACAGTTTGCTAACGCGTTTCTTCTGAGGGAAAATAATTCGTATTTATTAGCTAGAAAACATTTTCAGCGTAAAAATTAGAGTGCATTTCGGATAATCATTTAAGAACAAAATTTAGGCTCGCGTACTGACTTATTTATTATGCAAAACGAGTCCGTCAAACATATCTTAACACTCTAGTCCATACTTGTAGACAGAGCACTAATTTGTTATTTCCTGGCAGAATAAAATTTGGCTACTGGGCAGAGGCAGTAATTTATGGCTACTGGAATTCACATGGCTTTTCATAGTATATTAAGCGCTGTGGTTGTTTGTAGCAAAGCGTAGTTAAGTGGCTTGACAAAAACCTATATATCCCAGACTGGTTATTTGTTGGATATTGCTATAAAATTCGTTTGGTAAATTAATAATTTTTTGCTACAAAAGTTTGCTAACAATTTTAGTTACGCAAGAAGCTGCTCCCGGTACATTTTCCGGTGAAATTTGACATATTGCAGAAAAGTGGTTACTGGGTAAATTTTTCTGAAGCTGATTCCTTTTCTCTTACAGACGAATATCATCGTGAATCTGCTAATATTATTGAAATTCCTGGTGTATCCGATTATCTACACGGCACGTATCCGGGAAATCCGAACGGTGGTGACATATTACTGCGGTAAGTAAGACGATGCCGGCATATGTATATAATATGATCATAAATGCATAATCGCCGCAACCAGCACGCCGCACGGCGCTGCATGCAGCGTATAAGTGCAACCCTGGGCAGTGCGCGCCATTCTTAGAGCGAAAGGCTTTTCTCTTAAGGGGTTTCTTATCCGGGAGCGTGCGCCGGGTTCGTAATAATTTAGCCGCAGTATGCGTCGTGGCTAAGAATGGCTCTTTAGCGTGTATATCCACTCATTTCCCGGAAGACGCAGTCGCAAGCCCCTCGATGATTAACCTATTACATACACTGGCCCGCGGCACTAACTGCCACGTGCTTCACAGTTGGATAAGTGCGCAACGCGTGTCGGGAGGGCGACGCAAATCCCTTTGCAAAGCGATTACAGTAAAACGCAACAACGCCAGCAGCCAACTCATGCAAATACCAAATAATATACTTCGTGTTTTTTAAAAAAAAATTGTTCTTTAAAACAGAAATATTAAAGCTAGACCAATTACTTTTAAGAATAAATTCAAAAAATTTATACAAGTGCGAAGAAAAAGTTTTATTTTGGGAAAACTGCTAGCCTACGTATCTATTCAAGTCTGGCAGTAAAATATACTAACCGTTTAGATAACTTAACGGAACAATTAGTATAAAACATGGCTTTAATTAAGGAGAGGCGTACAAACAATTATTAAAATTTTTTTTTAAAAGATAACTTTGTTACTAAAAATAATCTCTTGACCTTTTCACTTAAGACATTCTCCGTCTCAAGCACCGCTCATGATCACATATATTGCGCAAGAAATATTTTTTGAAGACGATCGTCTTACGCACGTCATCGGGCAATCGGACGTGCATGCACCGGAAGTCGCCATAGCATGTGTACAGCGATCAAATCTTTCCCCGAACGGCACCCGCGGCCACGAAGAACGCCAACGTTCCGGGGGCGGGCCACGCACCCATTGACACTAATCAATTTCCACTCCTTAAGATCGACGATACACAGAGATATGCACACACTATACGCAACGCTCAGCCGATTTCATAAACAGCGTCCATTTCCATCGTTTTGCGTGAGAGCGTTGTCTCGGGAAAACGGATCGATTAACCTTGACAACACCAGCACGTCATCTGCCCATCACATTCGACACATAATCAAAAGTCTCCGCAATAACACTTACCGGTTAAAAATATACAAGAAAACTCCGGATTATAAAAATTACCGGATGACGAAAATGGCCGGGAAAATGTTAACGATTATGTTGGAGAAAGTGATTTCGTTTTTTACATAACATACTGTCGTTCATTGTCCGGGATTTACGGATCATTTCGCTGACGAGCATGGCTGTATTGAAAAACGAAAATCCCTCAAGATTTTCCTCGGCACCGGAGATTACATCTCTTAAATGTCGATCAAAACGCCGCTGATGATTCTCGGTCCTTACGTAATGTGCAACCGCCTGCGGAGCGGCTAAGATGTCGCTTGTCGTAGTAGTCGGTTACAACCGCGATGACTGATCGTCGTTCAGCACAGCACACATTCCATGTCATTAGTCCGCATCATCAGTGTTGTCGCGTTTAATTATATTGAATGGTGAAAAATTATGGTGCGCTGTTGCAGTGCGCGGACGCAGTGTATCTGTATAAGCAAGACATTCCCAGATTATTCTCCTTCACTCGTTTTAACCCCGGACAAGGATGCACTTAGGCAATTTGTTCCCTGTCCACAATTCAATTTTCAACAACTCTTTAAACTCGGTCACTACGACAGTGTCGCCTTTTTATGTCCATGTATTTAAAACGGCTTTCGCGGAAACATTGCTGATTTTCAAAGACAACCCACAACTGAGTCACAAGTCTCACTTCGAGTATTGTTATTCTTCGCTAAAGTAAATTATTTGGTGTTCTTTTCTCGCGTCTTCGGCGACGCGTGACAAACCGCATTTAAATGGCATTTGTATTTTTATTTTAATAAGGTCGACTGCAACTGCGATCGTACAAATGCACAAGAGCGTATCGTAGAACATGGGCTTAAATTCTAGGATTATACTGTACAATCATATCGAATGATGTCACTCCAAGCAACCGTTGTCTTCGAAATAAAAAAAAACCATGTCATTTTTTACAAATTTAGGTTTTTACGATACTACAGTACGTACATACATGATACAGCATATTTTATTTTTCCATGCGGGCCGCTTATATATAAATAAGCACTGGCAATCCCGGTCTTATATTTTACATGAATTTGAGTCAGCTTTTTTTTATAGTAAAATTAGGCTGCCGCAAACCGGCCTCGCATCCGCGTTCCTTCGACCGCTTCGACATCTCGCGCACCGGCTCCTTCATGACGTCACTGCGCTACTCCACTTACCGTTCCCCGCGGAAGGGCAGCGACGCCAGCACCTCGCCCTCGATGGTCACCCGCCGCTCATCCGCCACGCAGGTGTACGGCGCACGCAAAGGTCCCTACCTCGACATTTTACACGCGACCACACCCAACGGCACCGGGCCGCGCCGCGCCTCCAATGGCTCACTGGGCCGACCCGACAAACCCGGATATCTCCCGTATCCCACGCAATCGCCCCTGCTGGAGGTTAACGAAAGCCTGAGCAGTCCGACCAGTGAACGCCGCGAATTAAGCTCCATGTGATCAGTTCTCTGCAGCGCTGTAAAAATAGCAATCTTGCAGGAAACTGCGCGCGTAAGGCTGTAATCTTGAATGTGGCGAACGGTCGGGATTCCCTGTACCGACGACGCTGTAAAGCGGCTAGTGCACAGTGTATCTGAAACGTGTTCTTCCATTAACTGATGGTAATGCTGCCTTGTGGAGAGAAAAATGGTTCATATAAATTAGGTTTAACTTGATTTTGGCCTACTTTATTTTGTTGTATGGACAAGCGGAGATGGGAAAGAAAGAGAAAGCGGGGGAAGATATCATGCTGGTTTCCGTGACAGAATGAGCGATGTGACTGTCCCTTGGGGTTGACCTCAATTGCTGTTTCATGATCGACTAAAAGCGCCCATTGTTATGGCGCACTGTCGGGAGTAATTTTTTTTTCTTCTCTTTTTGCTCACTTTGTCGTTTGATCAGTCTGCGGCAAGATTATTATTACCGGTCAGATGCACAATAAACAAGAAGAGTGTTTTTATTTGCCGCTATAGGTGTATATAGGGGGAAATCGATAGCATACTATACACCTTCCCTGTACTGCTCCAGTCATCCGTATGGATTGCCACGTTATGGCAGAACAGGGGTTTTTAAAAGCGCTGCATTTATACCTGCACATTGATGCAGGTACATGTACCGTGTAAGGCAGTGATAATCAACTAATTGTAAGTGCTGCAGTCAGTGCAGTGACAGTAGGATTTGCATTTTGTTGTGGGCAGAATCGTGGGAGTGTGCACAAATCTTTTTCGAAAAGGCACATTTAACACTTAAATTGATTCCCGTAATTTATTCTTCATTTTGCAACCAAAGTTGCGAGAAGAAGCCACTTGTTTGCCCGAAAATCGAAAATCAAAAGGATGGAAGATTCGAAAACTTTCAAAATGTGAGCCAAATCACGGTGCCACACCGGGCGGTGACATCTGCGTCACTCGCCGGAAGTTTATAAAAATCGTTTTCTAATGTTTAACTCTGAGGTCTTGGTGAATTTTCATGTAAAAAAAAAGAGGTTTCCTGGAATACAGGGCAGTTTGAAGGTAATCACCCATAAGCATTTCAAGATACGCTTGTTAAAGCGACTTTTCAGCAATCAATGTGCAGGTATAAATGTGGCGCTTTTAAAAACCCCTGTTCTGCCATAACGTGGCAATCCATACGGATGACTGGAGCAGTACAGGGAAGGTGTATAGTATGCTATCGATTTCCCCCTATATATACTAATGGCAGTTGATATAGATACAGATATGCGTTCGACTGATTTACGCAGTGACTGGCCTAAAAGCTGTTTGGAAGTATCACACCATACGTTGGCCCCAGTATTTCACAAATTGTAATGAAAATCAAACTGCGAATCAAACTTTTGCATACATTTTCTCATCACGTACTCAGCAAGACACCGAGTATTCATTGTGGATATGCTAGTTATCACTTCCTTTAATCTTATTAAAATGGCCCGATCCCTTCAATATATAGGACTACTATCTGTTTTTATAAAAATTAGTTGAGCGCGCCGCCATAATTATGCACATGTACAGTAAGTGCACAAAAGAAGAAAGGAATAAAAAATGGCGATAATATGAATCATCTGAACTTCATGCAACTGGCCAGCCATTCAAGTGCGTAGTAAACTGCATATCATTCTATATAAAATTATTGACACAAGTACAGTACTTGTACACGTCCCGCGAGGTACCTGTGTACAGTACTTATCCATGTACCGTTCGGTATACCTATTCTATTAACAACATTCCTTCCTATTAATTTTTATTTGTTGTAAAATTTACTCTTCTTCGTATACATCATGCGATATGCATGCATAGCACTGTATATAGAGCTGTAATTAATATAGTATCTTATACGGTATACGCTCTTACATTTCTGTGCACGCGCTCGTGTTTATTAGTTTATTAGTTGTATTTAATTTTTAGCTTTATTATGCACGTTTTTGAGCATGCAAAAGTTATTCACTTTCTGAGTTAATTTTTAATTTAGTGTATTAGTGTACATTTTTTCTGTTAATGTATTGTATGAAATGCCAGCTGTACTTACGATTGGATGCAGAGTAATCATTACAGTTAAAATTCCAGCAGCACGCAGTACATAGTCTTCGTACATATCAATGTCAGCGGCAACTGGAGCATTAATACAGATTTAAAATCAAGGTAATAAAATTAAGAATTAAAAACAAACTTAGAAATACCGCCCATCACAATATTCTATAGAATGCGATCTGTGTATTGTACGTATGTACCCGTACTTCCGGTGCGAGCTAACTGTAGCAAGCTGTCTGCACGCAAATGTAGCTGGCGCCGGTTGGCGGTTGGAGTACAGTGAATCGGTAAGTGCGATATGTTTATTGAATTTTGGTGGCCAATTTCACAGGATGCAATATGCACAGTACTTCCGCCTTCCAGAAAATAGTGCGCAGTACCACTATATCCCAGTTTAAGAGACCGAGGCTTGCAGATGGGATCGCTCGAAGTTTTTTCAGTTTCGTCTTTTTCAACTTGAGAAATTACGACTGGAATTTGATTGTAGTTCTGTTCCCGTTGAAATTACTCCTTAACATTGATTTCCATCTGAGCCAACTTTCGTAACGAAGAATGGATGTTGCTGCGAAATGGCGCGAGATATTGCAGAGCAATCGGTTCTATGGACCTCGTTATTTTGAATTGGCCAGACTATGGTAAGATTCGTAAGAACAGCAAACGTAAGAATTAGGTACTCCGTATAACAGTTTTAAGCAGGAGAACTATACTGTATGACTTCGAAATATGTTGATGCTTTTCGGAAACTTTTAAATAATGGTTGCTTTTTGAAAAAAAACGATGCTGTTCGTGTAACAAGGATAACTCGAAATCTTCCTCAGAAATCTCTGCGATAACGAGCAGAACGGTTTTCCGTTTGCCCGAGCTTTGCGTTAAGGTTTATAATGTTTACCAGTCTCAGAAACGTGTTCAACATGCCGTTACATGCGTGTTAATTATTTTACAGTTTATACGTACAATTTTAACGTTATTTTGCGATTTCCATGTCGTAAATTGTACTCGTATTGATTGATATTTCATTCGTGATTCAGTTTGTGCATTATTCAGTTATCTCCATATTATGTACAATACAGTGTGAATATACTATCATTACTCCACATGTACTCGTATATTATAGATTAATTAAATAGTGTTTCACTGTTTTTGATAATTCATATTATTTGTGGTGCTTGTTCAAGCTGGGAATGTCGATAACCCGGATGGATATAATTGAAAATTTGAATTATTTTTATGATAATCATAAAAGTTGAGAACAAAGTCGCAGTCGCAGAGTGCGCGTCCAAAGATCTGTATTTTATTTCTGATTCCAGTTTCTGCTGGTATGAATTTACGTGCATATAATATTTTTATTATTGGTGTTTTTGTCAGTGGTGCTTTCGATTGCTTGAGTTATTTTTAAGAATAATCTGGCATTAGTTGTTTTCATTTGCATTTTGCAGGACACCGACAGCCGTCCGTTTCGGTGTGGCGGCGGCGTTATTGGGACTGCTGTTCACCGACTGGCAGGTGATCAACAACAAGATCCCCTTCTACCGCAAGAAATTCGAGGACAAAATTTATACCTGATCCTTCTACCCACCGACTGGATGCTGGCCGTTTGCGCGTTAGAACTGTGTGCTGTTTTCACCGAACATCCTGTGCGTGTATAGTCTGCAAGGGAAATGTTTGTGCATTTTTGATTTCTGTGGTAATATAGATATTTTCGCGAGTAACTGGATGTTACTCTGCAGTCTGCACTATCTGAGACGGAGTTAAAAAATGAAAATCGTCATATTAACTGACGTTTCTGACGGAATTTCTTTTTCATGAAAATATAAAAATTTTACAATTGGTTGATGGACTACATTTTTCGTATATCTCTACGGTTAATAATAATTATTATTTTCTATCTTTTAATGCATTTTTTAAACAATTGGTTTTGATAATCTTGGCATTTGTTATTAATTCGCTGTTCAATTTTTACTGCGCCAAGCCGCCAGCAAGATTGCACTCAAAATATGTACAAACTACAAAAGTTATGTACGTTCATTTTTGTATTACGACAGATAAGTAACTTAATTTTAATGGCTTGTTACAAGCGAATAAACATGAATTTTCACCAGCCTGCAACACCATCTGCAAATACTGGAACAGAACGTTCAGCACGCACACGAACTTTTTATTACCGACCATAAATGATAAATCTGGCAGTAGTATTATAGTGTGCAATACACAACAACAAAAGTCCTGAACGGCGTCCTACACACCCTGACGCACGGCACTCACGCTTTCACTCATTCTGCAATGAACAGTACAGAAATCTGTCCACGCTTCCCCGGACAACCACCGTCCTTCATTTCTGTCCCGGCGGCGTATGGATCGTCACCGACGGCACCTTGTCGGGCGTGACAACCGCCCCGGTGGTGGGCGTCGGTTTGGCCAGTTCGGGGAAGGCCTTGGTGGGGTCCTCGCCCTTGGTCTTCAGTTCCTCCTTGGTGGCACGGCTGTTGGACGGGATCATGCGGAAGCTGTAGTAGGCCACTCCCAGGCCGAGGAGCCCGAAACCCAGGGCCCAGGTGGGGAAGCCAGCACGCGGGGGTTTCGGGAGGTTGGCAGCGGTTCGCGCCGAGGATGCGGCCGAGGACGGAGGAGGTCTGGAGGTGGGGTCCGTCATGATGGAAGCAAAGATGAATTTCTCAAGAATATAATTTAATAAATGCGTTAAATACTGAAAAGCTAACTGCACCGCAGCATCAGCTGAAAGTGAAGAGACATACACGCAGCGGGCTACTGACTAATCAGCTTTCAACTTCGCATAGGAATAATGAAATGCAGCTGGGAAATTGACAGTTTGCAATAGAGAAACGAAAGAATACAACGAAGTTTGCACTTAAAATGCCTAGGCGCCAAGAACAACTGACGAAAGTAAATGACTTTTATTCCAATTTATAATTTATTTTTTAATTTTTATTTCAGGTAGTGAAACAGTTGAACGGATCAGACTCAAAAGTCAAAACTACGACTAATGGTTGTACCGCCGTCTAATGGGGGCGACACGACTGGAATCAAACTGCATGAACTACCGCCCTGAAGCTCTGAAAATTGCCAGAGTACTGTACTGTACATATTTTCGATAATTCTAATAAAGCTGCCACGTTATTTATAATTTATAGCTTATTTTATTGAAATAAATGATCGTTTCTTAAAATAAATTCCTTTGAAACCAGTCATTAATAACTTCGAACCCATTGATCTGGATACTTAATGAAACGCGCATGATTGGATTTGGTACTGTACCGTCTGTACGTACCGTAAGACGGCGGCGTAAGTACATATTTACAATTAAAAGCAGATACACAGTACTGCACATATCGCATTTTTTAAGGTTTTCGACAGAAAATCGCTGCTAGTTGTGATGATTCAGTACAAGCATTT